GAGCAACGTTTTAATTTGTCGATACGGCATTTTAAAAGATCAGCGAGTATTTTAACACTAATAGTACCACTAACATTGAGAAAACTCAATGAGCTGTTATTGCGTATTTTAATTCCAGAAACTTAAATTTATAAGCAAACGAAACCCTATTTAAAATTTAAAAATATCAAATTATTACAAAAAAGTTAAGTTTTTTTGCTTTTATTAAAAGTATTTGTATATATACGTTTATATAGATATTATTTTTTAAGAAAAGGATGTACTACAATAATTTTATTTTGTATAAATAAAGTAAGATAACTCTTTCGTCCCCACATAAAAATAAATTCTGCAACTATTTATTCATTATGTGAATATTTTTTTCTTTTTTTTTTTTTCTTTTTTTATGTAGTTTAATAAGGTGGGTTTTTTGCTTTCTAAGTGAATATTTTTTAAGTTTCCCCCGTCTTTAGATATTTTAGAGCGCCATCAAAACTTGGTAATGTAAATTTGCCGTTTTTCATTAACAAGTCTAAAGAACTTTTTTATTTTTATATAGCTGAGATTTTATTACAAATTTTTACAACATTTTAAAGTGGGTTTATTTTTTGTTGATGATGTTATTGTTGCTAAGCAATTAGTAATTTAATTGCAACCAAATATCAGTCAGTTTTATTTATAACTTACAATTAACTTTTTGTACAATTCACCTAATTTTAAAGTGGTATATAAATATAAAAAAGTGGTATATATATGCAAAAGTACCCTTCTCTCAACTAAATTTATAGCGCATAATCTTATAATACATCTGATTTTGTAGGTTTTTCTATACAACATTGTATTAGAGAAGACGGTTCTCTTGAAGTATCTTGGAAACGTGCACAAGTGATACAAATTGATCAATTAAACGCTTTACGAACCACATACCTTGTTAAGTATGATAATGAACCGGATGAAGTATGGTCATTTCTTTTAATAATTGATTTTGAAAAAGGTGATCTTATTCTTTTCAGCGAGGATTGTGAGGTAATTTTTTTAACAAAAATTTACAATTATGTTGTTGTATGTATTTATCTTATTTCTTTTATTATTATGTTTCGATAATTTGTTTTTACTGCATTTGAGTACAGTGGTTTTTATCTTTATAAATGGTATAAATCATATTTTATATGTTTATATGTACCAATTTTGTTTAATTTAAAGATATTTTTATATTATATATGAAAATTTTTAATCTCTATGCTTAACTGCACATCATTATAAATATTAAAATTAAAATAACAAAAAAAAAAAGAGCTTTATGCAAAATTACTATAATTCTTAAATGAACTGCCTATCAAATAAAGTAAAGAATCCAGAAATAGGGTAACTTACTATTACTTTTACATGAACTGCCTATCAAGTAAAGAAAGAATCTAGAAATGGTGGGCTAACCTTAGCCAACATGAAAGCTCACTGATGAAGTGCAAAGTTATATTGCTTACTTTCTCGTTGGTGCACTTCGTTAAGTAAGTTAGACAATTTTGTTTAATTTATTAACGGAATAGCCAATGCAAATTTTGTATAAAATTGTTTGATGACAATATACAAGTATGTCTGTGTGTGTGTACTATTAGAAAAAAGTGATCAAATTTTTTAATGTTATAATAAAAACTTAAAAAAACATTCAAAACTGCCGCCATTTTAAAATTTTTTTAAAACAGAAGGTTACTCTTATTTCAGGGTAGCTTACTCTTCAATTCGATAATAAAAACTTTTTTTTTCAGTAAATTTACCGATATAATGTCCGCGAAGTTTTGAATTAATTTTGAAAATTTAAATTTCTAAGTTCAAATTATGATGAAAATTATTTTTCAAAGAATTTGCATCATAATTTAGGTACGTTAATAGTACGTAGTAATTAATTATAAAATAAAAATAAAAGTTAATTTTTTTTTTCTAACACAAAACGATTTAAGAAATCCTTAAAAACATATAAGACATCTTTTGCAATTTGAAATAGAAGATAATCCATATAAGTATTCTGTTGAGTAAATCTGTTAATTTAGGTACATAACCAAATAAAACTAAACACAATCAAATAAAATAATTCAACGAGTTTTTCATTCATTTTAAAAAATTCAAAATTATAAATACAAAATAAAACTCTAACCCTATTAAAAATAAGAAAAACTCTTATATTATTATAGGTGGGGGAGATAATAAATTAGCCTAAGCAACAGACTCTATGCGGGTAAATTTCTTTTTGAATCTATGATAATACTGAAATTATTAACAAATCGTTGACTAACATTTTTTTAATTTGTGTAAAAATAAATTTTAGATTTATCTTTATTTTTTACGTATTTCGACGTTTTCGGCCCACTGTTATACAAAATGGCCGACAACTACTTTGAGCTGACCTGAAAAAACCGCTTTGACTCCAACTATTTTGCTCGAGAAAAAATATATTTGATATTTTTTAAAGTTTTAATCATTTTGCACAATAGCGCAAAATGACAGCTTTTCAAATTTTCATTTTTATAGCATTCAAAAACATTCTAAAACTAATATTTATTACTCCAAACATAAAAATATACATATCAAAGACAAAGATGGGTATTTTGCAGAAATTTGAAACAATCATTCTTTCAAAAAACGTGAAACTGCAAAACAAATTTTTTGCGATCTTTTTTTTTGATACTCTGCTTTAAAACACTGTACCTACTTTGGATTTTCATAAATAAAAAAAGAAACTAGTAAATTTCTCATTCAAACTCTTCTAAAGACTAGATTCTTTACAATTGCTTGCTGTTATAATCCACATCACAAGAAAAAAGCCTCTTTGCATATTCTGGATGATTGCGATGTCGCTTGTACCTTTGCAAGTGTGAGCTAAAATGATGATATATTGATTCTGTTGCCTGCTCACTAAAGATCCCCAATGGAGCCATTTTTATCTCAATGAATTGCTTCACATGGAAGAAAACAGCATGAATCTTTGGGGTCACATTGGTGTTCATAATTGCCAGATATGAGTCTTTAATTAAGCGATATAAGCGATATAAGCGATCAAACTTTTCTGCAAAATCATCCTTAAGGATCGTTTCAAAACTTGCTATCACCACAAACTTAAACTTTTGAAGGGCATCAATGATTCCAAAGACTTGAAAAGCAGACTCTGACTCTGCAATCCTTTTGAGGATGTCAAAATTATTGAGTAGCTTGTAGCAGGCGATCCCTGCAAACTGCCCACCATGATATGGCTCTTGTTGGATGTGGAGAGCTCATAGCCATCTAAAAGCACCAGGCCGAACTTCTGTTAAAGCTTTGTGCATGTGATTCACTACACCAAGAAGCAGATGAAACTCCATTGAGGGTACAAGATAAGTTTGTTTTCAGATCCAGACAGCAATGGTGCATAGACTAGATTGCCAAAAATCTTTGCCTTCTTAATGTCAGTGTCACACTTAACAAACTTTTGATGGCAGGCAACAAGTGAGTCAAGTGTTTTCAATGATCCTGATTGGGAGAGGTGCTTTGATTCAATGTCGCACCATGAGTAAGGGTGAAAACTTGCATAGTTTTGCAGTTTACATATAATGTTGGCGAGTTTCATGTCACATGAGACAACAAAGTTGACTGAGTTGAAATTGATTATCAATAATATTTGCCTCACATTTTCAAAGTTTTTTAGAACCCGCTTTGAAATAGCCACAAGCATTTGGCGCTTGACACTGCTGTCTTTGGCTATCCTCTCAGTTAAAAGTTTTTTATGTGGTGGTGACCTTGAATCACTCTGAGAATCCAGCTCAATGACACTTTTAGAAATCCTCTACCACCATTAATTCCTAACTTAACTCTATAGCTCTGAAAAACTCTTCAAGAAAGGAGCACTTCATTTTAGCATCTTGGAGGCACATTTATGTTTCAGAAAGTTAGAATCATCAAATAAGAGTTTTAAATTCAGTCCAAATAACCATATCTGTCTTTTTTATGTATGTGTGTATGTTTGGAATAATAAATATTAGTTTTAGAATGTTTCTCAAACTAATATTTACTAAAATATTAGTTTTAGAAACATTCTAAAAAAAACAAAATTTAAAAAGCTGTTATTTTGTCATATTGTGCAAAATGGTTAAAACTTAAAATCAAATTTATTTTCTCGGACGAATTAGTTGGATTTCAAATTTTACATTTTTTGAAGTCAGGAAACATTGTACTTTAACCCAGTCAGAGGTTTTCTCGGGTCAGCTCAAAGTAGTTGTCTGCCATTTTGTACAACAGTGGGACTGTTTTATTTGAGTCCACGTTTTTCACTTGATAATTTATTAAAAAAAGTTCAAATAAAAGTTAATTTGAATTTATATTTCTCCTCAAAGTTGTACGCTAAACGTATTATAAATTAAAACATTTAAAAATTTAAGTTATTTAAAAGAAGTTGAAAACATATTCTACTGTTAAAAAACAACTATGTTTTAAAGTTATTTAAATAATTTTTATTTACGATTATTTAAGTTGAACAAAATTTTATTAAAAATTTGTTAATGCGAGAAGTTCTGAAGAGAGAACTCAAGAAAAAAAAATTGTAAAAAAGTTTTTTTTTTCGATGCCAAAAATTTAACGAGATACTTAAAGAATTTATATATTTCATAAAAAGTCTACGAATTGCAAATATTAAAACGCGTATATCTTTGGAACTAAATAAGCTACAGAAGTGGTTGAAACCGTTTTGGAAAGGAAATATATTAAGGAATTCAATACATTTAAAATAAAAAATATTTACATTCACTAAAAAACATTCTTAAACACCCTAATAAAGGTATTATTAAAATACATCTTTTCGAGTGTTCAACCTTTCAGTTGATGTATTTACTTCAGTTATTAAATGGAAGTTGCAAGTCGCGCTAACTATTTATACATAATATAATTAAATTATGCAGATTCACCGTAAACAAGTTTGGGGAACGAGTACATATATTTACGCATTTTCGCAATGAAAAAATTTCCCTATGTCAAAGAGTGAACAAACAAAAACCCAATAACAATCTAAAAAATTTTTATAAATGAACTTTCAAAATTTAAATTAGCTTCATATAAAAGGTAATTTTCAGGTTATCATTAGATTTTACAAATAAGTTGGTTTTTCAATTAATTAGACCAGCCTAATTGATAAAGAATAATTTAATAACCTCAGATAATAAGTAGGTTTCTTAATCAGTGTTTCGTTAAAGATGTTAGCTTCTTCACAAATTATGTTTTTATAAAAAGATCCAAGTTTGAATTATAATCGCTTGGAACATCAAAATTCATATCTTGATCCTCGTACCGCTGAGAAAACGGAGAAAAGGAACTGCTTGAATTCGGTAAATCCTTAAATAAAAAAAGTAAAAAGAAAATTTAATAGAATTAAAATATATATATATATATATATATATATATATATATATATATATATCTAAAATCAAACTATTCACTATTAGCCTCATTTCTTTTGTCCAGATATAACTTCAAGGTTACACAGTTCCAAGTTTGGGCAATTGCAAAAAATTAATAAAAAAATTATTTATATAATAAAAAAATACTACTAAAATTTTTTATTTTAATTTTTATTAGTTATTTTAGACGCTCCAAGAAGTCCAAACGGTCTTATCACAGAGCACCGCAAAATAACACTTAACAAGGAAGTTCTTACCAGTGATACATAAATGGCCAGAGCCGGCTTCGAACCACGGCCTTTAAATTTTGAAGGCAGATCTCGAAAATGTTTGGATAAAAAACAGAAAATGTTTAAATAAAAAATCACATTGTCTGGGCAAGTCAAAGTTATAGAGAAAAAATATTTTTAAAGTTCTATTTTTGTTTCCTAGCGATAAAACTTATGTTCACAGGCTCAATTAAGTTTTATTAATTAGTTAGGGTAGACGGGGGCATGTTGGCCCACATTTTTAATTTGATGTGTTACTTATAGGAATGTTATGTTTTATTTTTTTATGGAAAATTTGTGAGAATCTCAACTAACCTAAATAAAAATAGTCAAAATAAAAAGTTTAAGATAGTTGAAACTTATGACTCTATAAAACCAAATTCTAAAAAACTTATGACTTCTATAAATCTAAATTCTAAAAAAAAAATTTCAAATTTAATAATAAGATTGAGTTATAAAAAAAAATTTATTCGATTATTTGTCGATCTTTGCTTTTTAGGAAAATTGTTTAGGATAGGTTTTTACACTTATGGCCAACGAACCTCATTTGCGTTAAGCCAACCTGCCCGATTTTCATATTTAAAGTAAAAACTTTTTATATTTTTTTAAAACAATTAATCAAAAATGTTTAATATTAACCAATTTTTAAACTATAATTTTTAAACTTGGTACTTACATTTTGCAGTACACCACCAATAAGTATTAACATGTCGATCAAACTCCTCAAAATTTATTTCGAGTTTAAAATCTTTATAATATTGTAACAATTTCAAATATGTCCCAATAAACTTTTTTTTTTTTTTAAAAAAGGGTTGAAGCACAATCAATCTATACCAAGATTCCAAGTTTGTTAAAACACTTAGTCTTTGAATAAGCTTAACTTATGTTTACTTTTTTATATTAAATTAAGTACATATCTGTTTTAGTATTTAATTTTAAATAAAAAGGTCATATATTTAATTATCAGTTACTACAATCATTTAACTGTTTATTCTTCAATTAGCATGTTCACTTTGAAATTTTTTATAAAGTTTTTTTTTAATATTTAAGTAAAATTAAAATTAAAAAAGTAAAATAATTATTTCCCATTCACAATTTTACTCTTTATCAATAAAGTGTTCAAAATGAGTAAAATCAGACTTTCTATTTGATAAATTTAAATAAACCGTTAGGTATCAATATATATATATATATATATATATATATATATATATATATATATATATATATATATATATATATATATATATATATATATATGTATATGTATATGTTGATATATATGTATATGTATATGTATATGTATATATATATATATATATATATATATATATATATATATATATATACATATATATATATATACATATATATATATAATGTTAAAAGTTACAAAAAAACATATCAAAATACTCCAGCATTTAAAGTATCATATTCTGGTATAAATGCCTGAATTGAAAAATGCGAGTTTTTGAATGAAAATTTTAACTAAATGGAATCTAGTGCTTTTTAGGTTCCTGTATTTAATATGTTAATTTGTATATTTATTTAAAAACTTACGCTTGGAGAGTAGTTAAAGTCATAAGACTGCGGTGATATTGCATTTTGATTAGTAGGAATATGATGAATTCTAAAAAAAAGAAAGAAAAGAAAACCGCTAATGAATTTTATAGAAAATCAATAAAAATTAATAAAAAAATCATAATTTTTTGTTGTTGCAGTTTTATAGTTTTGTCAATTATCATTACAGGTGATTAACTACAAACTAAGATACAACTACTCTCATTTGAACTCACAAATTACAAAATTCACAGGTAAAGTATTTAATAATCTGTGAATTTAAAAATATTTTATTTAACTATATTCTTGTAGAATGTTTTAAATTAAACAAAATTTTATTTAAATTATAACATTTATATAATTCACAAAAAGTTTATTTAAAACAACTTCATGTTCAAACTTATGGTTTACCTTAAATGAAGCATCCTTTACAAAAATATGTTTTGAATTCAAGCAAAACCACATATTTGGTTTCAACGCACTTATTTTTAATTTTTGATTAAGCTGACTATACTTAATTTTCCTTTTAATTTATTTTGTTTTCAAGTATAAATCAATATTTTGATGCTAAACTCCAACACCACGTATCTAAAAAATCAAAGCTTTTCAGGAGAGTCAAAAAACGTGACTTTTTCAACATTTTAAATAAACAAATAAAGAATTCTTAAGTTTGTTTATTTAAAAAGGTTGATTTGATCAAAATAAGTTTTTACTTTTTGGCCAAAGTTTTCACTATTTAACTCAAAACAGCCAAATTTTGAGATGCGTGGTGTTGATGTTTAGCCATCGATTTATTTTTGAATGAGAAATTATGTGTTTGCTTAACAATAAACAAATAATTTGTCAAAATAATATACAAATATTTTTTCAAAATAATAAACTAATAAATAAAAAACTTTTTTTTTTCTAATGATTCACTCACAACAAAACTGCAAGCAACCACTATTAAGTTTCTAGAAAGAAAAAAAAAAGAAAAAAAAGAATAGAGATTTAGAGCAAGGAAATGGTTGACAGAAGAATTGAAAAATTGTAGGTTGTATAAGTCAGGAAAAGATAAAGGTGGGAGAGAGTTCCAAAGGGTTAAAATGCGAGAAAAAAAAATAGACGAATAAAATTTTTTAGAGTATACAAGAAAGATACAGTAAATGAATGAGACATTGCTGAATGACGAGTCAAGCGAGAAGGAGTTTTAGTTGATGGAACTAGAGATGATGTCGCCTTTGAGCAGCAATCATGATAGTATTTGTAAAAAAGAGATAGAGATACAACTTTACGACAATGGGAAAGAGACTCAAGCTTAGCAGATAGAGTGGGTCCAACTACATTTACAATACGTTTTTGGTCTTTTTCTAGAAAAGAAAGAGCGTCATTAGAAGAACCAGCCGAATAGGACAACAGTATTCCATACAGGGATGAATAAGAGATTTGTAGAGGTAGAAAATAGAATCAGGAGTAGGAAAATGGCGAGCATGATAAAGAAAAGCAACCTTAGCGGATGCTAATTTAGCAATCTATATTATATATGGTTTCCATAAAAGGTCAGTAGTAAGTGATAATCCAAGAAGATGCAAAAAAGAGAACTCAGTGAGAAGGTTGCCATTCATTATTTTAGAAATGCCAACAGTATTGCAATAATATTAGTATAGTTGTAATAACAGTTAAGAAGATCCACCATTCATCATCCTAGGTTCACACCTACGCCAGCCTAATAGATGAAGAAGGGGTTCAAGGCTGGTTAGCAGAATTATTCTTCTTATCCCTTAAGCCTTTGCCTAGGAAACCGTCTAAAATACAGATTTAACACACACAAAAAAAATTTTACACACAAAAAAGTACTTTTGAAAACAAATGGGCTGAGGCGCAAACTATATATAATACATAAAGTATTAACAAAAAAGTATAGGTAAACAAATGTTAATTCTAATATCAAATAATTAAGAAAAAAATTAAATTATTATTTAAATACATCAAGTTTTTTTTTTAAGAATAAAAACACCATCCATGAATATGAATGCATCCTTTAAAACAACTTATTTAAAATAAATATTTTTATTAAAACTTGCTTTGAAATAAATTTTGTTTTTAAGACAAGGCCAACATATTTATGAAAATAACTAGATTTTTGTAAGTTGAAAAAATCAAGAATAATTCTTTTTCTCTCAAACCATTAACTTTAACATCACAAATAAAACATAAGCCTTAATATAGCTAATATATTTATTATATCTCAACATAAAACACAAACTTGACAGACAAGGATGCTTCACACACACACACAAATGGTAGCACCAGATTCAACTTGAATCTGGTGCTACCATTGTATGGTACACCAAAATAAATGTACACAAACTTTGCCAAACAACTACAATAACATATTTAAATAAAATGCTATCTTCTTAAAAAAAGTGCAACATATTGATTAAGTAATAATAATAAAAAAATTAAAACTTCCAACAAAAATTATAAAAAAACAAACAAAAAAAAAACATACATTCTTGCAACGATGCCACTAGTAACATAACCAGAGCTATCTGTTTCTCGCTCAACTAAAGTATTATAACAAAACAAATTTAGCTCAAAGTATTAATAAATATTAAAAAAAAAAATTTATATATATATATATATAAATTTTGCTTAAATGAAAAAAAATATATTAATAGAACCCAAAGTTTTATGCTTTACTGTAATCTGACAAATTCTGATATAAGGGAAAAAAAAGAGAACCTTTAAGTCTACATTTTCAAACGAAGAAATAAACTTAACACACCGACAGTTAGGTCCATCTAAATGTCAATATTCTAACAAATTTCTCCTTTCTTCTTTTGAAACCGAAGACAAAAAACCTTTTTTTTCCATTATGTCAGAATTCATTCTACTTTATTTTTTAAAATGATTTTATTAAATGTTTTTTTAAAATATTTTTTACAACATTTTAGGTATAACTTTCTTGTTAATGTTTAGCCTTCAGGTTTTAAATAGATATGCTCAATATATATATATATATATATATATATATATATATATATATATATATATATATATATATATATATATATATATATATATATATATATATATATATATATATATATATATATATATATATATATATATATATATATATATATATATATATATGTATATACATAAACATTTTTTTAAATGTTTTTTACTTCCCCAAGGCTGATAAGACCACCATAGTCAAAGAAACTTTTTTTTGGTCAATCATTTTTTGAATTAATACATTCTTTTGATATTTGAAAATTTTTTTAATATTTATAAAATGGTATACTAAATAGAAGAATGAAAACAGGTCTTTTAACAAACATCCCTTATAAACAAGTTTTAATTTTTTTTTAGTTTTGAAAATGGAAAAAAATCTGTTGGCTTTTCCCCCAAAAAAAACTGGTAAACCTAGCTTATGGTGTTTTGTTTTTTTGGTAAAATACTGTAACAAACACATTTCAATCAAATATAAATACAAATATTTAAGATTTTTTAAGCAATTTTAACAAATATTAAATAATTTTTTAATCAAATACAATACAAATACGCCAGTTTAACACATAACTACCAAATATAATATCCAATGCAAATAAATATTTGACCCCAACCCAACAAAATTAAAATGTTAAGAGAGTTCAGTTTCGTAACTTTTTAACTCCAAAACAAAAACCTAGACAAACAAGGCCATTACGCAGAGAAAAAAGTTGAACATGATACTATCAGGGATGTTGTGAGATCAAACTCGGAACTTCTTGCTTAGGAAGCGAGCGCTCTACCACTAAACCATTACTGAATTTTATACACCATATTTGTAAGGGATGTGTTCAGTAACAACTAGTAAACATTATCAACTTTAACACTACTACAAAAAGTAGATTTTATGAAGAAAAATAATTTACTGCGCAAAACATTTGATAAAAAAAACAACAAACCAGTAAGTAAATATTATAAACCAGTAAGTAAATAAGCTTCACAGTTTACAAACATAATTACTTAAAATTTAAAAATATTTACTGTTACTTGAATGTTTAATATAAAGGTTTACTTGAATTTAGTAAAAAAAATTTCCACTGTTTAAGCTAGACCTTGCTATAAAAGGCAACAAAAATACATAATTTACTAAAACTTTATTTAAAGAAAATTAATCATGCAAATGAATAAAAAGGAACCGATGTTCAGAGGGGGTTCAAAATTTAGAAAATTTTTTTATAATTTTTAATTAATATATACAGGTAAAAAATTAAATGACACAAAAATGTAAAAACTAACAAAAATTTTTTAAAATGGTTTAATAAGATTCTAAATAAAAAATATTTAATACAGAAACCTTCTTTAGTCTGGAAACCACCAAATGCTTGTTCTTTTGGAATATCTGGGTATAAGTGAGTCAATTCTGGTAAATCGAATATTCTATTGAATGGCAATAAAATAATAATCTATAACGTTTTGTAAAAATGAACTAAAAATAAATAATACTTACATGTATAAAGTCATTACCTGTCAGCAAGACTACGTATTGTTAAATCTTTGGAACTCCAAGGCTGCAAGTACCAAACTTCAGGTTTACCTAAATTCTCAAATTTAAAATTTAATATATGCTTTAAAAACAGAGACAAGCTTTATAATTTATTGTTACTTCTAATTACAAGTGGTAAGTATCACAACTATCATTATTATGTGTTTATTACAACTATCATTATTATGTGTTATACTTATTATGACTATAAATGCTAACTAACATAATTATTATAATTATATGTGTTTGCTATCAAACTTATTGTAGTTATAAATGCTAACTAACATAACTATCATAATTATTAGTGTTTATTATCATAATTATTACTATAAATGTTAACTATTATAATAATTATTATAATTATAAGTGCTATTTATAACTTTTTATTATCATACTTATTATAACTATAAATGTTAACTAATAAAATTATTATAAGACTTATAATTATGATAATTAGGTTAGTTAACACTTACGGCTTTAATAAGTATGATAATAAACCGTTATAATTAACATATAATATGTTAATTATAAGCATTTATTATCATACTTGATTATTATTAACATATATTATCACTTAATGTGTTAATTATAAGCATTTATAATCACTTATTATAACTATTGTTAACTAACATAACTATCATTACTATAAGTGTTAATATAATTAGAAGTGGTATCATAAGAACTATAAATATTTAAAAAATTATTTATAATTCTATTTTATCAAGCAGTTTTTTTCATATAAAATTTCTGTTTACAAATTATTATAAATATACCATTAACTTCGCATCTCCATGCAATGGTTATAGCACCAAGTTCACCATCTGAAAAACGAATTATAAATGTTCCTGGTTGTTTTTCTAACAAATTCTTGTGAGCAAGTTGCCTTGTCATAAACTCTAAACATCTGCAATTATAAAATTAAAATATGTATCAAATAAATATGCAGCAGAATCCCAAACTGTGTTTTATTTAAGGATACCCTAATCTAAACCTAAAAAAATTATGGGTTATAAAACATATATAAACATGAGAAAGGCCGAAATATAAAACTCACTGATCTTTCCAATGTTCTTTTAGGTGTTTTCGAACTACTTCTAAAGAACCATGAAACCATTCCCAAAATGTAAATGAACGACCTTTAAGCGGTTCCTAAATTTCAAATTTTTTAAAAACAACATTTGTAACAAATTATTAGTTAAATTGAATTTTAAAAAGTTTTTAAAAACTGAATTTTAAATACTTTATTGAACAAAGTCCAAGGTATCATTGAATCCTCAGAGATAATATTTTTATCTAGATAGAAAAATGAATTTATGAACTAATACAATAATAAAAAAAAGCCATTGTAACAACACTAAACATAAACATAAAAATAAACTCATACAATGAGAGCTCATTTAAGCAGCAACCATTTTAGTATTTGTAGAAGAAAGAATAGGGTAACAGATGCAACCTTACAACTATGAAAAAGAAGCTTAAGCTCTGCTTTTGTTTTTGTTAACCTTATTTAAAAATAAGTATCATTTGAGGAGCATAAAATCTCCAATAAACATGACAACAGTATTCCATACAAGAACAGATAAACGATTATTTGAAGAATGTTAGAAAACGGTGATCACAATAAAGACAATCTTAGCAGATAAATGATTATTTAAAGAATGGAGGTTAAAAAATGGAATATCAACTGCCTCTTTTGAGCAATCAAAAAGTGTTTTGATACCAAAAGCCTCAATACTTCCACCTAATACACAACATGACTTTAATTATGATTAACAAATCATCAGTGGAACAAGAGGATCAAAAATGTGTTGATTGCCAGGAAGTATGTTGTTTGAGATTGATCTCCCCAAGCAGAAAAAGAAGATTCAGTTAAACACTTGTTCCGTTAGTTCAAAGAATATTAAAAAAAAAACACATATTGAACACTTTTTGTAAAACTATAAGAAGAATATTGTCCAAACCACAAGCTGTAGAAGAACTGAAGAATAATATGTAGAGTAAAAGCTTGTAATAAGTAATCTTGTGAAGCTTGAATAGCTTTAATGATGGAAGACATACTTTATATACACACAGACACACACACGCACATATATATATATATATATATATATATATATATATATATATATATATATATATATATATATATATATATATATATATATGTATATATATTGCCATAATAGAACCTAACTTTTGAGATAAAATACTATATTTAGCAGAGCATTTTAGATTCTAAGGTCAGAGGTTCTGCATCAACTTGCAATGATAAAAAGACATTTATTGAGAGTTGTTCTTGTGTGCTTGTGAGTGAAACCACCACAAAATAAGCAGCAACTAAGTACAAACTAAGATCAAAAATGAGACAAAACTAAAAGAGAAAAATTAAATGACTTGGGCTTTCAAGAAAACTAACTTAACTATGTAAGAACAAGTAAGAGATTGAGAAATTCAAAAAATACATGCTTTCGTACCAGCCAGGTCAGTGATCACAGAGCAAAATCATTCAGTGTGATGAGCAGTTAAGTCAATAAAAATTAAAATATTAGCAAATAAAATACATAAAACATGCTTGAAAATCATTAGTTTTGATCAACAAAAGCAACAAAAAAAAAAAAACACCAACAACAACAACAAAAAAGAGTGCAGTCTTGGAGAAATTATAAATAAATCTCAAACTATTAAGAATTAAGAGAAAAGCAGTGAAGTAAAACAAATAATGGTGTAAAAGTAGCAAATAAAGAATATTTTAAATCCAAGGAAGAAAACAATCTAATGCCAACTTGTTATATAGAGAAGAGGTGTAAGGATAGCCAATTAAGACTTAACATGATTAATTATATTTAATATAAACTATGGAATATCAGAAACTATTTAAAATATCAGAAGCAATATGAATTGTCAGTAACAAAATATAAAATACTATAAACCACATATAATATCAGGATCTATGAAAAAACATCAGGTTATATAACAAAATATACCACTTGTAATATTAGAAAAAATGCGATCTCGTAGATAAAGAAGGTGGTTGCTATGTAACTCATATTCAGCTGTTTGAATCCATCGTGCATTTAAGGCCACTGCCATTTCTTTCCAAGAGACTTCTTCCGGAACTTCAAAAGGAACACGATTCTGCACAAATAAAAAACTTTTAAAAAATAAATTGATAAATTTATAACATATTTTTACCATTAGCTTTAACACCTCATTTCCTATTTATTGATACCTCAAGATCCTATCACATCTCTATAATAAAATTTAACAAGAAAATATCGTACATATAGAATATATAATTACAGGTGTAATTAATGATAGCCTCTTATTATTAATTAAATATTACTCTCATATACCACCTCTCATATATATACCACTACCACCACTACAAAACTGCAAAAAAAATAAACAAAACATACACACACACACACAAAACATATAGGTACAAAAAACATACAGGTACAGAAAACATATTGTCCCATATAATAGTAGCTTCTGAGTTTGGTCCTTGATTCCCATGGACAACAACTACAACTGGTGCTGTCATACACTAAATGTAAAAAATAAGTATGAATCAGAATAAAGACCATTTAAACATTAGAAATATTTTTATAATCATTTAAAATAAACTCAGACTGAATTAATAATATTCAGATATTGTCATTGAAGTATTTTTGCATAATTGTCCATAAATAACTGTATTTTATATTCGAAATATGAATAACATTTACAAGTTCATCAAATTTGTTGTGTTGGAAATTAAATAAAGTCAAGTCTAAGTTCCATATTCAAAAAATTAAAATTTTTTTTCTTCAATCAACAACTTCATTTACTATAAGTTTGAAAAACAGAAATTTTTAAAACCTTAATAAAAAAATAAAAAAAATAGGTATGTCTCCCACTTGTCAGGGACATGTCTTTGTAGCTGATCTCATTGTCTGCACTCTTATGTTATGAATAAGTTATTTTAACTTTAAAACTTAAATATTCATAATAACACTTTTTTTTAGGAAGTCGTTATTAGTATAAAATGCAATGAAGTTTAATCAAGATATTGATTTCAATCAATTTTATCTTTTTTATTTTTAATTAAAGTACATTGATAAAAATTAATTTTTTTCAATGCAAAATCAATATAGAACTAATATAATTCAAAAAAATTAAAAAAAACTACAAGAAAATTACAAGAAATCGATTACATAATCTAAGAATGAGATGCAAAAAAGTTGGAGTTAAAAAAAGACAAAAAAACAAATAAAAATCTAATTACAAGTGCCCTTGTTTTGCATGATAACAAAGAAAAAGTATTTTTGAACTAATTGGACCAATATCATGTACATCTAATGTGGTACCTTTTAGCAATTGCAACATTTTCCAGCACCAAATCAATTAATCTAGTTGTTTCCATTGGGGTTTACAACCTGAAAACTTAGTTCATCACTTTAAAGCGTTTTTGCCCAATTTATTACTACCAAATACAAACCTTTATTGCACTATTTTTATCTTTTGCTCAAATACATGATTGACTATTAGTGCAATATAGACACCATATTTTTATATCTGCTTATATTTTAATTAGAAAAGAACTGGTTAAAGAAAAGAACTGATTTAAAATTGTTATGGTTCTTTAATTTGACTATTTCAATAAATTGTCACCAGATGCTTTCTGATATTGATTTTTAAACCACTTGCATGCAAATTGAAATAATGCAAGTTAGTATTTAACAATTTTATATCGTTTTGTTATGTTAAAAATTATTTCTTTAGTTAAGCATCACAAATACTCAATAAATTTATCAAAAAGTGGTAATTAAAAAAATTAGTAGTCAAGTGTGTTATTACACTAAATTAAAATTTTGTCATAAGTAAAATGGGTTGTCTAATTTCCAATTAGTTTTACTGCATTTTAATAGTACGAATTTTTTTTTCTAGCTATATATAAAAAAAACAAAAATCTTTATATCTATTTCTGTTAAATATCACTATAAGAAAATCAAACATTTTCTTATATTATTATATATATATTATTATTATTACTATATATATATCTTAAATCCTAATGATAAAAAGCCAACTTTATTTTAAGACAAAATTTTTTTTTATGGAAAGCACAACATTCATCAAAATTAACTTAAACATTTCACAGACTTTAAAGTCTTTAAAACACCTCAACAGCTATTTGATCCGGCTTCTGTATGAGTAACACCATTCTTATGATATTACTATTAAAATAGCGTTATGTTACAACTTTCCCTACAATAAATCTTACTTCTTAAAAAACTCACTAAACCTAATTGCTTCTTTATCTTAGTGAAACCTTAAACCTTTGTGAGACTAATTTTAATATGGGTATTTTATCTCTATGTTAATAGCTATTAATCTTAGATTTGCAAAAAGTTAATTACTTTTTTTTTTTTTTTTTTTTTTTTTTTAACATCTTCACTTCCAACAAGGCTGCAAGCAACCACTATAAGAGTTGGAAGTTACTGGAAGAGAAAAGACTAAATCTGTAGAGCAAGATAACGATTGACTGATGACTTAAAAGATTGCAAATTATATGAATCAGGAAAGCAAGATGAAGGAAGCGAATTCCAAAGAACTGATGTTCGAGGAAAAAAACTAGAAGAATAAGAGTTTTTGAAGCACTTAGGAACAGTCACAGAAAAAGGATGAGACTTAATTGAATGGCGAGTAACACGAGAATGAATTTTAGTAGATGGCACAAGGGACGCTAGCTCTTTAGAGCAGTGCCCATTATAGTATTTGTAGAAAAGAGAAAGAGAAGCAACATTACGACGATGTGACAAAGGTTGGAGATTGGCTGCCAGAGCAGGTCCAACTATGTTTACAATTCGTTTTTGCACCTTGTCTAAAAGAGAAAGAGCATCATTAGAAGATCCGCCCCAGATGTGGCAACAGTATTCCATACAGGGACGGATTTGAGATTTATAGAGATAGAGAATAGAATCTGGAGTAAGAAAATGTCAAGCTCGATAAAGAGATGCAACCTTAGCAGATGCTAATTTTGCAATGGATTTGATATACGGTTTAAAAGAAAGATCAGAAGTAAGAGTTAATCCTAGAAGATGAATGGTAGATGACTCATCTAGTACATCACCATTCATAAATATAGGAAGATCTAAATTATTACGATAACGATTGGCTGAATAAAATTGAGTTTTATCTGAATTAAAGTTCACCAGCCACTGTGAGCCCCATGCTGTAGCAGAAGTGAGATCCTTTTCAAGCTCAGATACCCCCTCCAAGCAATCAGAGAGTATAGGCTTCTTATCATGACAAGAGTAAATGGTAGTGTCGTCAGCGAATAATGCCACCTTAGATGTGAGAATATCTGGAAGATCGTTAATGTAAATTAAAAAGAGTATAGGGCCAAGGATTGAACCTTGAGGAACCCCTGAAGTTACAGGATGTGAAGAAGAGTGTTGTCCATCGAGGACAACTTTTATACTACGATTGGAAAGAAAGGACTCAATAATCTTAAAGACGTTACCAGCTACACCATAAGAAGAAAGCTTATGGAGAAGACCAGCATGCCAAACTTTATCAAAAGCTTTAGAAATGTCAAGTGCGATAGCCTTAACCTCTCCACCTCTATCTAATGCACGGTAAAACCTATCGGTTATTACTGTTAGCACATCAGCTGTAGAACGAGAAGACCGAAATCCATATTGATGATCAGAAAGTAAGTTATTTGATTCAAGATGAGAGATTAAGTGTTTGTTGATTAAAGATTCAAAAACCTTGCTTATGACAGGAAGAAGACTAATGGGACTTTTAGATATTTAAATTTTGTACTTTATTTCAGAAGGTTTTAGAGACATTTAGAGAATAGTAAAACAATATTAGATTAAAATATTGCCAAATATTACTAACAATAATTAAGAGATCATCCTGCTGGTAAAATGCAATCTATTAAGATTGCCACACAACCTGCTGCCTTGACTCTAGCAAAGACTAGGAAGGCTTTAAAATAAATAGTATAACCAAAAAATTTAATTATTATATTACGTTTTATATGATTTATATTTTTGTATTTTTCTATATTTTTTACTATATTTTTAATTCAACAGCTTATAAAAATTATATTAGCATTTTAAAGTTTGTAAAAAACAAAACTAAACTTAGTTGTGTAACAACATACCTTATCTTAAATTTCCTGTAGAGACCAAATTTGTATTATTAACGATGAAAAATTCTGCATCTAGTTGATCAAAGATGTTGGCACAGTTTTGTGCCATGATCTTTGAATTTGGGTTTAAGCTGGTGTGGAATGATGTAGAAACTTAAAACATATTTGAATAATTTTTTTCTTGAGTATAACATTTATAAATACTTACATTTGTAAAACAAAAACAACAACTACTTATCAAACTGTAATGATAACTTAAACAATATTAATTAAAGTTAAAAAAAAAAACACTGACTCTTTTAATAAAAATGTACTATAACAATACTAAAAATCTTTAAAAACATTTTATCATTAAATGATAAGTTTTAAAACATATTACCCTGATGTCCAGGACTACTCCATCACATAAGTTCAATTTGGCGGAGAATACTAGAGCACTTTTTGCTTCCAGAACAGACTTTAAAAAAGCAAATATTTATAAAAATTTACAAAATTAATAATTTAAAAAATATAAATAAAAATTTTTACCTCTTGACCCTTCCTGTCCTGACGCTTTATCTTTTTTAATTGCTAAAAAAAGCTAATTCTTTGTATCAAAAAATACTTTGTATTGTGAAGGTATTTTAAGTTTTAGAAATGTAAACAAAAGTAATATTCTATAAATCTGTAGCATTAAAAAATTTTGATAGATTAAATAAAAATATTTCTAAAAGATTTCTAAAGCAAAAAACTTAAAATATAATTGCAACCATGAATCAAATAAATATATTTATTACTAGATTCTTATAACATCTTTAAAAAAAAAAAAATTTGATACCAGATTTTTAAATTCAGCATGAAGAGTAGAAGTTTCTTTATCTAGTTCCATAACCTAAAAACTCTTTTCATTTCAGTTTAAATTTCAATAAATATAAATAATAAATAATATTATTATATTATTAAGGATATTGGGATTAAACTTAAACTACTGGCTTATTAAGCAAAGCCTCTACCACTATATTCTTAAGCAAAGTCTCTAGCACTATATTCTTAAAATTTAACGTTTGTCGTTTAAAGTTTAATTAAAATAGCATAGAATAGAAACTAAAGAAGATATTGAATTAATTTTTAATTCGTGAGAAAAATTTTCTCTAAACAAATCCTGCATTTTGAATGACATATTAAAACAATGTATATAAAAACATTATCAAACATAAAAACAAAAATTATTGATAAAAACTGCGATATTAAAAAATTCACACTAATTTTTCGAATCAATAAGATTGTCAGATTTCTGTCGGAAATATTCTCCAAATGAATTTGAATTTGTTTTATTTCAGAAATAAAATATTTAAGTAAAATAATAATTGATTAGTAGAGTTTTTGTTTTCAAAAAAAAATGTTAAAATATTTTATGAAGAGGTGATAACCAATCCCCTCTATGCTGAAAGGTCATTTAATAAAATGACCGAAGATGCTCTTTTTCCATCTATATGATTTTTAAAGGCATTTACGGATTGAGCCCTGATTGCATTTGGCGCGAGTGCGTTCCAAGGGTTTACTACTCTGTTAGTGAAGAAATGAGCACTTTCTTCACAATTATTAACGTTTTGTCTTTCCAATCGTTGGTTATGGCCACGTAAATTGTACGTTGATAGAGATGGTGCAAGTTAGGCTATTTATAGATCTTGGACCTTCAAGATGCACCTTGACTAATTCTTAGTTATGCACATATTTTAAATTGAAACATTTTCTAGTAATAAATGCAGTTTAAAAACGGTTTTAACTACAAACATAGGAACTTTTTTGATATATTCAGCTATATACAGTTATGTAAGAGTGCGTGTGTGTGTGTGTGTGTGTGTGTGTGTGTGTGTGTGTGTGTGTATGTATGTGTGTAAACACGCACATACATAAATTTAACTAACTCTTTAAATTATAAAAAAGAAAATCTAAAAATGCAACATAAAGTACATGGGTGATGTGATATTCTAAACATATAATAGTATATTTCTAAAGAGTTACTTTTGCTTTTTTGTTAATTATATCATTATAAAGATGTAATAGTTAAAAAGTAAAACTTAGCCCTAAAAAAATATTTCTAATATAAAATACAAAATTAATAATGGCATTTTTTTTTTATACCAATATATGAAAATACAACTTACAATTATTATTTATTTTTAATAAAAGCAATAACAAATTAACTTCATTTGCACTCCATTAGCTTTGTCACATCATATAATTAAAGTAAATAACACATTATCTTTACTTCATTGAAATGACATTTGTTATTTTAATATCAATAACTTAAGTTCAACTTTATTGTTCTTTTTTTCAATAAAACTTTTTATCTTTTGTGCTCAGAACTGATTAAAAAAACTTAAAAAAAATATAAAAAAAGCAGCTGCTAAAAATGTAGCTACTAATTTTGATACCTAGAAACAATTTTCTTAAACTTTGCATGACAAAAATAAAAACTTTCTTTCTTTTCATTATCAGAAAACCTATATCACTCTTATACTAAATTATTAAAACTATTCTGAAAGTAAATAACTGAATGTACTAAAAAGTAAAAAAAAAAAAGTAAAAATAAAAAAAAAAAAAAAAGTAAAAAAAAAGTAATAAAAATTAAAAACAAAACATACACATTTATCATTTAAGATCTCTCCACATGTTCCAATATCTCTAAAGAAAATAAAAATTTTAGCAGAAAATTATTTTATTTTTTAATTATTATTTTATGTTTAAATTAAAAGTAAAAAAAGATTAGACAATATATTTTTTGATATCTTTAATAATAAAAAGTTTTTTAATAATTAATATCATATAAGTATCAAATATTATAAATTACCGGTAAATTTTTGTAATTTACTGGTAAATCAAGCTTATTGCTATGTAAGGATTATTTCAATTTCTAATTGCTGAATATTTTATCTAATAAAGAATGTACTATAAATATTAAATAAATTATTTATTTTCTTGTCAATAGATTAAAAATAAAAAATAAAAAAGCGTAAAGCATTCTTTTGTTTCAACTTAATCCTTGAGTAAACTTAACAACTCTAATTTATGTGTTAAAAAGAAATATACAAGCAAAAGAACCAGCAGTTGCAATGCTTAAAAATAGCATCGAAAACTTCTTTTTTTATCAAAATAAGAGACGATTCTCTTGAAGCTGTACCTTCAAGAATGACTACACAAGATGCATTCCTTTCAATAAATTTTGTACATATGAAGATTTAAAGATGTTACTAAAAACAAAAAGGTACATAGAGTTACCAAAATCTCCCAAAACCATTCACAAAAAAGTAATGGTTTATGCCGATAAAATAAAAGAAGTTGTAAAGAAAATTTTACAAAATAAGCTCAATAAAAAAGCTTATAGCCTTACCACAGATGAATGGACATCTAATAAAAACCGTCGGTATATAAATAATATTATTCATGGAAATGGCGGTAATTTTTGGAAATCTTGGATTGACTCAGATTCTTAATCCGCACCTGCTGATATATGCACAGAACTAATTGAAAAGAAGCTTATAGAGTTTAATATAGCTTGATGTACAAGATGTTAATGAACATGATGGTAAGTAATGTATTACTTAATGTTGATTCTAATTATTCGGAAATTGAACTTGAAAATTTTGAAGTAGACCACAAAGATATTGACACTACTTAACTTGTTCTACAAAACGCAGAGCTAAATTCTTTAATTACAAAAATTCGGAAAGTTGTAAAACTTTTCAGAAAATCACCAACCAAAAATGATAAACTACTGCAAAAATACGTTAAAGGAACTGTCCGAATAGAACTTTCTTTAATTTTAGACTGTAAAACTAGATGAAGTAGTTTATTAGGCATTCTGTAAATATTTTTAAAACTTAAAAGTGCTGTTCGAAAAAGTGTGATAGATTTGAAAATTGATTTTAATGAATGAGAAGTAAAATTACTTTCAAATTTAATATCAGATTGGCCATTGAAACACTCTGCACTAAAAAGTTTAATTTATATTTATGTAGAAGATCTTATATTAAAATTTATGTTAGACTAGTTAAGTAACCAAAACTTTTTTAAGTATTGCATAAAAAATGAATTAATAAATTGTATTAAAGAAAAAAGAATGATAATTTCAGTCGTGTTACACTATATAACAGACACTAATATTATTATTTCTGTTAAAGACAATTATGGTAATTTTATATCAGTAGTAATGTCGTAATTATTAAAACTATTGTAGAAAATATTTTGTACAATAATGCTGAATCTGGGAGAGTATTCAAAAACTCCTAAATGAATCAGTTTTGGATTAAATAACGACCTCATTACTGTTAAACCAAATGCTGATTTTTCTATAAAGGAAAAAGTTAATCTTTTTCTTTAAAAACAAATGGACAAGAATAAAGGAATAACTATTTTAGAAGAAAGTAACACTAAAGGTCTAAAAGAAGTTATAAAAAATAAGTTGGAGTACTTTTGACAAGAAAATATGCAAGGGAAGAACATTCAAATAGTTTTTGACTATTTGATGACCATTTGTCCAACAAGTGTTGAACCTGAAAGAGTATTTTCAGGAGCTGGACTAATATGTACTTAAATTAGATCTCGATTAGGAGACAAGATATTGTATAGTTTAAGCTTTCTACAAGCTACTTTTTGAAAAATGATATTTAATAAAAGTTGTATTGATTTATTAATACATAAATTTTATCGGTAATTTACCAATTTAACGGTATTACAATTTGCATTTACTGAATTACCGGTAAATAAAAAAGTCGGTAAATTTACAATCCCTTGTATGACTCAAGTTTTTTTTACACATAAAAATGTAACTGTTGCTGTAGAAAATGTTTATGAATATGATGTTAATTTTTTTAAAACACTTTCAATAATATAGCATCCATGAAAATCATTTTTATTTATTTTCCAAGTTTAACAAATAGTACTATGTTGTTAAACTTGGGTACTGAAGTTATTGTTAAACCTGGGTACTGAAGTTTAACAAATGATTAATCCTTATTTGATTTATAAAAACACTATTTGCTGGTACTTAATTATGCATAATGTTTCAAAAATTTCTCCTAACAACAACAACAACAACAAAAAATAGCACATACGCGAGATTCTTCCCAGAAAGTAATTCTTTGCATTGTTTTTCACTAAAGTCAATGAATAATCAACTCAGTAAATATGCAAAAAATAAGCAATCAACATATAAAGTTTGTAAAGCAATTATGCAAATTAGATTTAATTAGAAGCAATCAGATAATCAAAATAATATATATTATATACCTTAAAATTGAGACTGTTACTTCTGGTAATGACATTTGATTTAATTTTGAACCTATGAGCAATCTAAATAGAAAAAAAGTCTGAAGTTTCAATCAACTTCAAAAAAACTGAAGTTTCAATCAACTTTAAAAAAGAAAAAAAAAATTTTTTATAGAAAAACTTTTTAAAGTAATTGTAAAGCTTTGTGATGAAAAACTATACCGCACAGAAGCTTGAAACTTTGTTTGTGTTTTCAAAACTTGCTTAGGTTGCTTATCAACTAAAAAAGACCTGCGAATCAAAAAAAATTATATTATCAACAGATGCAATTAGTATGTCTAACTGCAGTTTAAATTAAACCAGTTGGGAATCAAACAAAGTTTATAAATATAAATAAAAGTATCAACCAATTCATCAATTAAACAAATAAACAGTTTTACTGCACTAAATCATAAAGTAGACTTATGCAAGCAAACCATAATCTTCAGACATTAGAAAAAACTCTTTAAGAGTTAGAAAGTGTGGTAGAAAGCGGTCCTCTACATCAAGACTTTATTGAAAGATATAAATATGGCCCAAGATATATGGCCCACAAGAACAGAAGAACATCCTGTAAGGAAATTATGATGTAGTTAGCTAATGAAGGTACACTTTAAGTCATCAGACTGTGAACAACCTTTTAAAAACTTCTCCCGACTGAAAGTCAAAAAGTCTGAAAGAAAGACTGAAAGTCAGTTTTAACCAGACTGCTTGAAGAAGACTGTGAAATTTCCAATAAAGTTCATGGTCTTTGCTGTTGTCTCAGGTCAGATTATCCTGCTACTGGCAACATGTAACCCAGTACAACCTGCTTCATGTCCTGCTGCCTTGTAGGATACGCATTTTTAGGCTAAGGCTAGAAGAAGCCAACTCAAACTTAAAATATCTCCTGCCTTAGGGCTCTTGGTTAAGTAAAGGCTAGAAATAGTGTCTTAATAAAAATACTCATCTAGGGCAGATGTAAGGCGCATCTGGCTACTGTCTTGTAGATGGTCTCCTAGGCAAAGACTTAAGGGGTAAACATATTCTATCTGTTGACCAGCCTCGCACACCTTCATCTATTAAGCTAGCACAGATATATTTATAATAAATTGTTTCCAGTTTAGGATGTTGAATGCTGGATCTTTTTGACTCAATGCATGAATTTTGCTCATGTCTCTGTTTTTTATGACCAGCCAATTCATTCTATTATCTCCTAATGAGGGTACAGCTCTAAAACTCAGTTTTATGGTTATGAAGCTGGCTGGTAGTTAGGTTTCTCAAACTCTGTGGTAGCTCTCAGAGAGGCTGATTCCATCAACAGCTTTAAAATATCAGAGTAATAAAAGTGCCATGTTGCGCATGGATGGTGTCCCTGTTCGTAATTTTGGTGAGCATTACCGAGACCACATTTAGAGTCCATTATTACAACTTAGGGTTTAAAATTATTAATAAAACAATTGCTTGGACTATTAAATAGTGTACAGAGTTCTATCTATGCTTTGAGTCAATTTTTTTAACAAATTTAAAAATGACTAAAGTACTAAAAATTATAAAACATAAAAAACCATTGTCATCACCAAGTTCTCTAAACCTATCATTCAATAATATTTGTGGTCTTCTAAGTAACTTTTCTTCTGTTGAGTCTTATCTCTTGCAAAGTTCACCAGACCTACTTTCTCTTTGTGAGACTATATTGAGTTCAGCTGTTTCATTTTGTGATCTTAGAGTTAATGGTTATCTTCCTTAAATTCCTTAAGACTACAATAGTAACATGCTTGGCCTGGGCATTTACATTTGTAAGAATTCACCCATTTGTAGAAACTAGGTTTGAATTCACCGACTATTTTTTTATGTGCTTTTGTTTACACCACTTTACTCTATTGCCTTTTTCTTTGTTTTATATTGCTCTCTTCTACTCAAAACTGCATTCTCTTCAATGTTATTTCTGATCAAATTGACCAAGCCCACTTTCTTTATCCATCAGCCAATATCGTTGTTGTAGGTGACTTTAATGCTCATCACACTGAATGGCTTGGCTCTAGCGTCAGTGACTCTAACTCTAGTGTCAATAATCTCTAACTCAAATAGTCAACATTCCAACTCATTTTCCAAACAACCCGAATCATTTACCTTCTCTACTCGACTTATGTCTTGTTTTTGATCCTAGTCAGTGCTCAGTTTATTCACATTTACCCTAAGGTGTATCTAATCACAGTTTGATCTCTCTAAACTATTATCTCATTCTTCTTCATCATTAGAATCCCCCTATCATTGTACCTTTTACAACTACTTTAAAGCTGACTGGGACTTTTTCTGTGATTCTTTTGTCTTCCTGCTGATAAATGTGCTTCTTACATAACTTCTTCGAATCAGGTTGGCATGAAATCTTTTAATCCCTCTTCAAGTCAAGCCTCACTCTTTTCCTTGGTTTAAGACCATTACTTCCACATCTATCAGTAAAACAATTCTCCAGAAAACAGACATCTGTTTACTATTGCTAGAAACTATTGTAAAAAGGTTTTGTCTAACGCCAAAACCCGCTGCTCTTGGGTTATGAAATTTCGTATTTTATCTTAAAAGTCAGGCTCTCATGACTTCTAAAGAGTCTTTAACAGTATCAATAAAAAGGGCAAATCTGTTATTCCACCTCTCTTGTACAGTTCAGATTTTATCACCTCACCTTAAGACAAAGCTGAAATGTTTGCTAAGAACTTTTTATCAATATCATCTCTCAATTCCACTAGTTTAGCATTTTAGGTAGCATTCTAACTGATATTGCCAACAAACAAGTTGATCCATTGCTTGACATTTGTATCACTCCAGCTTCTGTATCTAAAGTAATTTCCTGCCTAGACTCTTCTACAGCTTGTGGTTCGAACAACATACCAGTTATAGTCTTGCAGAAGTGTTCTCCAGAGCTTTCGCCTATACTTTTAAAACTACTTAATAAGTACTTATCTCTTGAGCCATCTACTAAATATTTATTCTCGTCATTCAATTACGTCTCATCCTTTTACTGTGACTCTTCTTAAGTGCTCCAAAAACCTTCATTCTTCTAGTTATTTTCCTTGAACATTGTCTGTCAATCGTTATCTTGCTCTATAAATTTCATCTTTTTTCTTACAGTAATTTCCACCTCTAATAGTGGTTGCTTGCAGTCTTGTTGGAAGCGAAGATGTTAAAAAAAAAAAAAATTATAGTAACTTAAAATTATAGTAATTTTTTTTTTACTCAAGTAAAAAAGTATAGTTGCTTGCATAAGTAAACTTACGCAAGCAAATCATAAAGTAAGCTTATGCAAGCAAATTCTTACCACTGCACTAAATTAGAAAAACCTTTTTCAAACTCATTGGAAATTTGATCTATACTTTGAAGTAGCGAGTTTGAAAGAAGTAGTTGTTCTTCTAAACATCTAAACTAAAATAAAAAAGTGTAAAGAAGTTTTCGCAAAAAAATTTTTTTTTTTTTTGTAAATAATATAAATTTTTTTGCTTGTGTTTTAAAGTTACAACTGCTGTTATAACTAAAAAATAAAACAAAAACAACTGTTGTTACAACTAAAAAAATAAAATAAAACCTTGCCAATACAAGCCACTGTGCAAAGAAACAAGTTTGATATGATGTCATTTAGGAATGAGGTTTAATTTGAACTCTGTAACTCTTGCTTACAAAGCAAGCGCTTTGCTACTACATAACCCCATTATCAGTTCACCTCCCTAAGGCCAAAAAAGCCACTATACAACTCTGAAAAGCAAACCTTGACAAACGAGACTGTTGGGCAGAGAAACAAGTTGAGCACATTACTAACAGGGATATGGTAGGAATTGAGTTAAATATACTGATATATATATATATATATATATATATATATATATATATATATATATATATATATATATATATATATATATATATATACACATACTTTACTAAAGCCAACATATTATATACCAATTAAAAGGTTTTCAAATTTACAATTAGGTTTTGAACAAATAATTATTATCTAAATAATATTTTTAAATTGGTATACAAATCAACCGTCTTTGATAAGTTCAAAAATTTGCGGACAAAGCTTTATTTTTTAAAATAGTTAAAATATTTCAACAATATTTGATCAAAATTTTTGCAAAAGCTAAATCACATTAGTATTTTGTAGGATATCCTATACAATCAAGAATACCTTGGCATCTATGAGGCATAGAGTCAACTAAATTAATGCAAACGTCAATGGGAATTAAGTCCCATAATTCTTTAATTTTATTAAATAAATCAGCATAATTTGTAGGCTTAATTCCTTTCATTTGACGGTCAACATGTTCCCATAGATGTTCAATGGGATTTAAGTCAGGTGATTGGGATGGCCACTTCAAAACATTAACTTTACTCTCTTTAAAAAACTCTAAAACCGATTTAGCTGTATGTTTGGGATCTTTATCCTGTTGGTAAATCCATCCTCGAGGCATTTTATCCTTTGCATATGGTAACATATACAATAGTCTTACATATATCTTTGTACTTTTCTTGATTCATATTCTCGGTAATTCTATGGAGAGGACCAACCCCATTTCGGCCAAAACATCCCCAAACCATTACATTACCTCCTCCATGTTTTACAGTAGGCAGTTGGTATTTAGGATTGTACCTAGTACCTACTGGACGTCGAACATACCTGATTCCATCGGATCCAAACAGCATAAATTTGCTTTCGTCACTAAAAAGAATTTTTGACCATTTTTGACTACTCTACTTTAGATGTTTTGATGCAAATTCAATTCGGACATTACGGTTTTTCAAGGAAACTAATGGTTTTTTAGCTGGGCGTCTTCCAAACAAATTAGCGTGACGTAAACGATGTTTTATAGTAGAAATACTACAATTCATTCCATAGAAACGTCTCATTTGTATGTTTAAATCGACAGCTGTCAAACGGGGATTTTCTTTGCTTAGTATTACAAGCTTTTTATTCTGATAACGCGTTGTTTTGCGTGGCCTTCCAGATTGATTTTTATTCTTTGTAGATCTAGTAAGCTCAAATCTCTTCATAATTTGTCCAACAGCAGACTTACCAACTCCATAAAGCTGTGCTGTTTTACGAAACGAGTTTCCATTCTGAACTGATCTTGAGATCAATTTTTTTACTGGAGATGAAATACATTTCTTAGATCCCATGATCTCAATCACTTATATATAAAGTTTTGAAATTATTTCCACAAAGTATTTGTTTATAAAATCAACAAATTAGCTATTTTGTGGTGAAAATGTTAAAAGCGCTAGTTTGTCCGCAAACTTTTGAACTTATCAAAAATCGCCATTTTGTTAACCAATTTTAAAATGATAATAAAATATTCATTATTTGCTCAAAACATAATTGTTAACTTGGAAACCTTTTAATTGGTATATAATATGTTGGCTTTAGTGAAATATGTGCTGAAATTTAAGTAAAATTCCTTATTTTTTTGCCTGTCCGCAAACTTTTGGACGCTACTGTATATAAACATATACATATATAAAGAGTTTTTGAATTAAAGGAATTCAATCATAAATACAGCTTACAAAAATATAAGGTTAATGAGATTTTTTAGAGATTGCCTAAAAATAAGATTTTTTAAAATTCTTTTTTGGCTTCAGTTCATAAATACATAATCCTTGAGCCTCAAAGCCCCACTATTTCACAGCAATAACAACAACCTGCCTCTCTTTATAGAAAACTCAAAGAGGACTACACCAGCAGGCTTGGTCGGGAAGCGGGAGCGATCGCTCTCGAATACTGACCTAGGAAATTATATTTAGTTGCAAAAAACTGGCCAGGATTTTGAGTCGTTTTGAGAACATTTAAGTTTATGTACAAAACAAAATATTTTTGTTTAACGGACAAACATGGAAACATAAAAAACTTTAATGTTCTTAAAACATCTTGGTACGAAAGAAGAAAAAGAATATTCGCGAACACTAAAAACCCAACAAATTAACGAACAAACTAATTCTATTGGTTCAAAAAAATACGCTGACTAAGCAAAATAAAGTTCCAGAGTATTCTGTTAAAATGTTTAAGAAATTGTATTATTCACGATTTGTTACGTTTTGAGATTTCTAGCGTAAATTGTTTTAAGAATAAATATTATTTATTTACAAAAATAAATGTTTTAAATATATACCAATTAAATTGTCAAAATTTTAAAAGTTTATTATAAATTATAGATTTTATTAGTATATTCTTTTTTTTATTTAAAAAGTATGTATTCTTTATGTAAATGTAATTTTGTGTATCTGTTTTTTATCGTAATGTATCTTTTAAAGCAATTTCTATGATTTAAACAAAGACTTACAAAAATAATTGCGTTTTTAATGAAGTTATAATCATTAAAGTTAATAAAACTAATTATGTAACAAACATATAAGAAGTTTCTTGTTACTAAACACAAACAACGCATACAAAGTAACTTGCGGATAAACAAGCACCGCGCCTGAGGTCACGACAGAACACAAATATATATAGCAAATAACTACATATAAAGAAAAGTTTCTAGATATTGGTTTACTAATTCTAATTATTTTCGCTTAAGTTGCCATTCTTAAAACTTGTTATACTTTTTTCTACTTTAAATACTAATTAAAATTAAAAAGCCCACTCACTAAACATCATCAGCGATATTGTGAAGCAGTTTCGCTTCCTCGTCATAAAGTATTTTTAACCTTTTAAGTTGATTTCTATCTTGTTAATTTAATTTCTGTAGTAATTTGATTATTTAATTATTTCATTTGTTTATCTTACTAAGAAAAATTGCTTCAAATATGTTAAACTTTTCAAACTACGCGAAACATAAAATAGGTATTAAAAAAATTAACTTTTTTTATTTATAAAATAATTCAGCTTAAATAAAACTAAAACTTGCAAACTTTGTTAAATAAAGAATATTTGTTTCCATTTTAAATACTCGTAAGATGTTACTTTATATAAAAAACGTCGCCTAATTTTATGAAAAAAATTATAAAAGAGCAATGTTTCAAAAATATTTGTTCTAAACGTAATTTATTTAGCTTTAAATTTTTTTGCGTTTAAAGATATTTTATTTGCCTAATTTTTTTTTTTTTTTTGTAATTGTTTCTCATCGGTCCAATTTATCTTAGCGCTTTTTTTTGTGTTTTTTAAAACGTTCTCAAAACGACAAAAAAGTCTGGCCAGCTTTTTGCAACTAAATATTATTTACGTGGTCAGCAATCGAGAGCGATCGCTCCCGCTTCCCGACCAAGCCTGCACCAGAAGTACTTTTTGAGATGCATAGAGTATATAACAAAATATAACAAATTTTGTTGGGAGGTCATTAGAAACTTCAAAATGGTGATGCAATTCCTGATGGGCCTTCAAATTAATTTCATAAAATTTTCTTGTTTCCTAGCCTATAGGACAAAGAAAACAAAAAACATACTAGAAATATAAGAAGCACTAAACCATGTTTTCTATGGAGAAAAAAAAATAAGTAAAAGTCGCTATTAGAACCTCAAAAGGTGCACCATTGAATACTAAACTAGGCCTCATTAAGTAAATTGTCACGACTTTTGACAAGTACCTCCAAGATATTATTCCACAGCTGCCTAAGCCAAAGATCAGAAAAATTAGCTTCATTAGCTCCGCAGACCAAGAAAATATTAAAATGGGATTAACTCGCCAAACTGTTGAACAGAACAGAGCTCTGACTGCTCTAAAATACTATGAAATAGTTGTTACAATTGTTCATGGCTTCCTAGATGATTACATATTTGAAAACTATATATAGTTGGTTCAAACTCTAATAAAGACTCTCATCAAAATGGGATGCAGAGTTTTTCTAAATGGCCATTTTCTTAACTCTCATCTTGAAAGATTTAAGGAGAACATAAAAGATTACTTACAAAAGAGCAATGCAAAGGTTTTTATCAAGATATATACAGTTACAGTTAAGCTGGCGGAGATATTTAAAAACATTTACAGAATAAAATATTAAGATATTGATATTGATAGTTTAAAGATAAATTGTATTTCATACCTTAACTAAAATAGTGTTTATAATCAACAAAAATAAGATAAAAGTGCTTAAAAGTAAATTCTCAACTGTAGTGCTATTATACACATTAAATTCTATTATTCAGAGCAACATTATGTTCTTTATGAATTACAACATGACATTCTATTATTAAGAACATCATGATGTTCTAGTCACAAGCTTGAAATTGTTATTAACTAATGATACAAAACAAATAATAAAGCACAACATTCTATTCGCAACAAGTCTGACATCATGTAGTTAATACTAAAACCCACAGTATTAGGAAATAGTTGACTGCTAATATTTATAGCATAATATTGCTACTTTCATGTATTTTAACAATCATTATACAAGTAGCTAACCTTTGTAGTAAGAGCAAATTTGATTTTTTACTACTAAAATACTCATAGTTGTCATATAACTTTTCCTTTATACTTATAGTATCTAAATAGTAAAGATATTTATATAAATATTGTTATTGCTCTGTTCTTTAAAAACATTGAGCACTCTGTTTGTAAAATACACTAAAATAAGTTATGTATATATATATATATATATATATATATATATATATATATATATATATATATATATATATATATATATATATATATATATATATATATATATATATATATATACACACACAGCGTTTCAATAAAATTTAGAACCGCTTACATTTTTTTTAATACTCGACAGAAAAACTTGAATAAAAATTAAACGAATTAAGATTTTTCAATTATTTTCTCTAAATCGAGTAGATAAAAAAATTGCTAATTGGATTTAAATTAAGACTAAGTAATTAGAGGCAATTTTCTAAGCTGATATATATTATCTATTAAATTTAGCACATGAAATCACATATCATAAAAAGTTGTTAATTTTTGAATTTGAAATTTTGTGTATTTGTTCACTACTATATAAAGGATATGTTACAAAAAAAAAATTCTAATAAATTCAAATTAGAAATAAAGTTAAGATAGTTGGTACTTCCAGACATTTTTGGTAAAAAAATGGGTAAAAAGAAAGTAGATGATGCAACTAGATGGCAGATTGTTGCATTAAAACAAAATACAGATAAATCTGACACACAAATAGCAAAAGAGTTGGGTGTTTCACGAAAATGCGTCTCAACAACGATAAAAAACTACAAATTGAGTAAGAGTGTCAAAGATATGCCGCGCTCTGGAAGACTAGAAAAGCTTAGTACCCGAGACAAAAACTTCTTCATACGAAAGGTCAATGCTGAACCTAAAATTACTCTCCGAGAATTAGCCAAGGACTTCAATAGTTCGTTCAGAAATCATTGTGTTAGCTATGAAACGGTAAGAAAGGTTTTAAAGGAAAAAGCAACCATTTCGTACATTGCTGCTAGGAAGCCACTTTTGACAGTACGAGACCGGTTGAGACGACTGAAATGGTGCCGAGAACATGCCAGTTGGTCAGTAGAAGATTTGACGAAGTGTATTTTTAGTGATGAATCCAATTTTAAGGTCATAAATCGTAAAGGACGAGTTTATGTCAAAAGAAATGGCAGAAGTATGACATGTGCATGGTATCACCAAGAATACAAGGCGGAAGAGAGTCAGCAGGAGTCTGGGGTTGCATCTCTCATAAAGGTATTGGTCTCTGCAATACGTACACCGGTCGGATCACTCAATATAACTACAAAACAATTCTAGAGCAGCATTTAATTCCATCAGCCCGTGAATTTTTCGGAAGACGCAAATGGATTTTTCAGCAAGATGGGGCTCCTGCACACACTGCCAAGTCGATAAAAGCCTGGTTTTCAGAGAAGAAGATCCAAGTGATGCCCTGACCCGCCCGATCGCCTGATTTGAATCCGATTGAGAATCTTTGGGCTTGGATGGATCGCCAACTAATGCGCACCAAGCTGATGTCAAATGAGCACTTAAAGCAAGCGATAGAAGAGACATGGAAGAGTATTCCACAAGATTTCTGCATGAAATTGATTGAGCCTATGCCTAGGAGAGTTCTTTCATGTGTAAAAGCCCGCGGTGGTCATTTTAAATATTGAAATTTGAATTTTTTTCAAATGTGCTATATTTAACTGATTTTTTTTGCTACCCTTATTTTTTATGTCTACTTGTTTTCTTTCATTTTTTTTTTATTTTTTATATTTTTTTGCGATTGTTTTTTACTTAAATTATAAAACATACCTTATTTAATAAAATTAAAAAAAAAAAAAAAAAATATTAATCCGTTTAATTTCTATTCAAGTTTTTCTGTCGAGTATTGAAAAAAAATGTAAGCGGTTCTAAATTTTACTGAAACACTATATATACATATATATATACATATATATATATATACATATATATATATATATATATATATATATATATATATATATATATATATATATATATATATATATATATATATATATATATATATATATGTAACTTATTTTAGTATATAAAAAACACTAAAATAAGTTATAAACATCCACATTTACACACACATATGTATATACATATCCACACTTACCTGTGTATTGACATGTGCAGCTTTCCACATAATATCGGTTGTTATCTGAAACCTTTTATGTAAAATTGAATAAAAGGTATTAAAAAGAAGTATTATTAAAAATATGAAACTAATGTAAAAATATAAGACGTATTTTATGTAAAAATATAAGATGTATTTATAATTAAATAGACAGTGTATTTAGTACTAAGTAGGGTGGGCTGTGTTCATAAGGATTAAGGCTTTATTATAAGTCCTAAAGATTATTTTTAAAAAAATCCCTTAAAACTTTATTGCAACTTTTTAATTTAACTTTGGTATGAGCTTGGGTTAAAATAGAATAGAAACTTGATTATGAAGATACTACAACTTTGAATTATTAGAAGTTAAATTAAATTATTTTATATTATTAAACATAAACTTGGTTTTCTTATATCCCCTTCAATCGTTCCTGGTTTAATATTTAATTCACTATCTATTATATTTAATGCTTTTTGAAATAAGATTATGTTATAATGCATTTAACTTGTTACCCAATAATATGGTTTAACTTGAATTGTTAATGTGGCTAATATAACTAAGTTTTGGTGTTTACCTTAGTACTATCTCTAACAACAGCTCGTAAAACCTCCTAGAGAACTTCCATCATTCAATATAAATCAATATAAATTGTTTAGATGAGCACTACTTGTATTTGTATATGCAAATTTATATATAAAATTTTTTTTTGTAATATATTGACAGCCTTCACCGATTGAGGATCAACATAATCAATGCATTATTTATCAGAAAATGAAATACTAATTTAATGATCTTTCTTTAAATTTTTTGATTTTTTTTTTTCTATAATCAACATTTATATAATCACTTCGTATATTGATTGTTTAATACTTTTTTTTATTAAAATTTTCAATCAAACCCAATATAACAAATTTTCTAATTATCTTTTAAGAGTGCTTTAATATTTGTATTTTTATAAAAATCTTGTTCTCTTTTTTATTAAGATTATTTATTATATTTATTAAAATTAAGACAAAGAAAATGAGAGCTGTTACTGTGCTAGAAAAAATTTTCTTATTTAGACTTTTGACAACAGTTTTTTCTATGTTCCTTTTTAATTAAGTCAAAAATCTGATTCTATAAACAAAAATTTGACAATTTATTTAGCATTCAACATAGTTTGCAAATATAACATTAACATAGTTTGCAAATATATATTTTTTAAACATTTGCAAGTTTATATATGAAACACTTCCTGAATAAACTGCACTAAACTTAACTAAGCAGTCAATGCTTGTTTCTCATTTAAATATTGAGAAAACTTCTTTACATTTGAAATTTTGATGTAAATAGTTTTAAAAGAACATTTTCCATGTTGGGTATTCCAGGTTGCAATCTACAGCCTAGTAGCCAGTATTTTCTTGAAAGTTAATTAAAGCAAGTGACACTTAAATCACCATTGTTTTCATAAATTATATTAGTATTTACACAACTTCTATTTTTATTTATAATTCTATTGGTAACTATGCAAATTTAATTGGTATTTACAGATCTATTGATTTCTATACAACTTGGTAAAAATAATTTCTTTAAGCATTACATTTAAAAATCTATTAAACATCAAATTAAAAAAAACATTAACAAAATAACAAATAAATCCTAATTAAATGACAGAAATACATAATATATAAATAAAGTATAGACAAAAGCACATTTATACAGCTGTGAGCATGAAAATAGCTAAAAAATATTTTATATACTAAAAAATTATTTGTACTTTCATTATTACTCTTCTTATGTATAATAGATAAAGACAAATTTTTTATGTGTGTATCTACAATAATGAGATAAGTAAATTGAGCATACCAGAATTCAATTCATCCAAGAACACGGTTACTTTTAATAAAACTATTGTAATTGAGAGAATACATTACAATAGCAGTGGTTGTATTGGTTTTAAAGTTAGTTTACAAAGTTGAAAGAAATTTTTGTAATTTTTACAGGAAAAAAAAGTATAACTTTAATTATAATATATACTTTATTTATTTGTGTATACACAATGGTAGAAGCTTTTTCTGAACCTTTCAAAGTACACCAACAGAACGCAACATAATTTTAAAGCATCATAGAGAGGGTAAATCTTACTCATATATACAAAATATTCTCAGATGTTCAGCAAAGATGATTTCAAATGCCTTAAATTATAAAGCAAAAGTTGAAAAACGAGGTTGAAAACCTAAGGCTATCGCACAAGAAGACCGAAGAATTGTAAGATATGTTAAAAGTAAACCATTTTCATTGGCCAAGCAAGTCAAAGAAGATCTTAAATTTTATGTGAGGGACACGACTGTTCGTAGGCGCTTAAGAGAAAACAGTTAATATGCATACAGTCCACGAAAGGTTCTTTTGTTGACAAAAAAACATAGCGCTAAACATTTGCAGTTTACAAAGCATCTGAATTGGCCCATCAAAAAGTACCACAACATATTATGGACCAATGAATTGAAAATCGTTCTAAATGGAGGTGAAGGTTCAAGACAATATGTAAGACCTCCAGCTAATACAGAATTTCAGAAAAAAAATACCATTAAGTCTGTTAAACATGATAGAGTCAATGTCATGGTATGGGGCTGCTTCTCATATAAGAGTGTTGGCCCTATTTATAAGATTAATGATATCATAGACCAACATATGTTGACATACTCAATAATATCATGCTGCTTAAATGAGTCTTCCAACAAAACAACGACCCAAAACACACTAGTCATAAGGCGAAGGAGTGGATTCAGGTCATTGGTGTTGAGGTTATGGAGTGGCCTGCTCAGTCACCCGACCTAAACCCCATTGAAAACTTATTGGGAGACTTAAAAAAGCACCTTCTGCTTTTTTAACATCTCACAGTGGCTTGTATTGTCAAGATTGCTAATCCAACTAATGCTCAGCAGTTATGGATAGCTATTCAACAAGCATGGCACGCAATACCCGAAGAAAAATGTCAAGGCTTTGTTGACTCAATGTATTGGCGTTGCAAAGCTGTTATTCAAAACAAAGGTTTTGCAACAAAACATTAAGGTAAATATTGTTATATTATACTTATTTATAACTTTTTAATGTTAAAAAACTAATTTTTTTAATGTTTAACTCTAGAGAAAAATTTTTTTTTCCATTTTCCAATACAACTGCTATATCAATGACTGCAAGCTTTTTTTAATATTATCATTTTGTTTCTGAAATAAAATGTAAAACTACTATTGATGTGATTTTTTTTATTCTATTAGATTTAAGTGTCAAAATAAATATAATAAAATTTTTTTAGTAATTAGTAAAAAAAAATTGCTCAATAATATTCAAAATAATCCAGGTACTGCTATTTTCATGCTCACAGCTGTATGTATGTAAGAATGTATGTATGTATGTATGTATGTATGTATGTATGTATGTATGTATGTATGTATGTATGTATGTATGTATGTATGTATGTATGATATATATATATATATATAGATATATATATATATATAGATATATATGGGCAATTCTGCAAGAGTGGCGGTCATTTGATACTTTTTAATCTATTAAAAATGAACCAAAAATGGAAATAGCTTGAAACTTTCTAGAAATGTGAAATACTATCATATAATTTAGTATGTAAAAGTTTCAGCATTAAAGTCTTTAATTTATTTCAAAAAGTAACTCTATGTTATAATGATTACTTTTTACCACTTCTGAACAAAATAACTTTGTCAGACTTAATGCAGTGAATGGCATGGTAAACAAAAATCATTTGGTGGGTGTATTTAGCACATATTGATGTTATCATATGCTAAGTTTCATAGATTTTAATTGAAATTTTACAAGCATTTTTATGTTTTTTCTGTCGTGACAGTTGTAACGAAAAATCCAATGCTTAAAAACAACAAATAAAATGACGGAATTAATAATGCAAAAAAAAAAAAAGTATAAATGATTATTAACAACCATGTATATTATGTTAAAAAAATAGACCATAACATTATCAAAGTTCTCAATTATGAATATATGATACGATTTTTAACGCTACACAACAGGACTGTAAATAAGCTTTAAAACACGTTTATACAACTCTTACAACTTTAAAACCATGCTATATTATATAAAAACAACTTTTTTAAAATAAGTCTTTTGCTTAAAAGTATTTTTAAATAGTTATAACAAAGAGTTATGGAGTTTAGTATGTGTTTTCATAACTTTTTTGCTTTTTTTTTTCTTTCCCTTTTTCTAGCAGAATTGCCCATATATATATATATATATATATATATATATATATATATATATATATATATATATATATATATATATATATATATATATATATATATATATATATATATATATATATATATATATTATATAAATATATATATGCACCATTTTTGAATTTCATCAAGTGGATCTGGTTTAAGAGCTCCACTTAAAGATTTTTGTTGCATTGCACGCCAACCAGCAAGTTCCTCTTGAAGAAATGTAACCATTGCTTGAACCATCACCACTAATTCTTTTAACCGCTCAAGAATATTCTAAACAACCACAAAAAATAATTTTAAAACAGTATGTAGACTTATTACTAAAATTAGAATACACATTTAACTAATTGTTGTTTTATTTAATGTTAAACTACTTTCATTTTTATTTTTATTTTTTATTATTCATTTTATGTAAAGTAGTTTTGAAAAAATAAGTTTTTTTTAAGAATATATTTAGCTTTAAATAACAAATTGTAATAATATTGATAGAATTTATTTTTATTAGTATTTTTATTTTTACTTCTGCATCACTGGTTGGCATGTATACATCATCGTATACATATATCGTATATAATGATAACAATGATGATGATGATCATGGTAATAAAATTTAATAAAATTAATGATGATGATGATCATGGTAATAAAATTTCTTTTGATTATTGGGAAAATAACAAAAATTGTTATTTTCCCAATAATCAAAAGAAAAAGCAGATCGTTATACTCACCCTTCGTGCAGAAGAAAGCCATTGTCCTTTACTTGTTAAAGTACTTTCAATTTCTTTCTTATCTTCTTGAGCTTTTAATTTAGCCTGAAAAAAAAGAAAAAATAATATTTTTTCTTTTTGCAAATATTTTTAATATACTCCCAATATTTTCAAGTAAACTCATGTTAATGTTAAGCTGGGTAATCTTGCAAACAGATTAATTTTTTTACTTTAATAATAAAAGAATTCCACACACATGGTAAAATTGCTTCACTCAAGAGAAAACACACACAAAAAAAAGGTAACAAAAAAAAAATTGAGATAAAAAGTATATTTTTTCTTTGAGAGTATTATTTTATATTTCTTTAAGAATATTTTTTAAGGATAAACAGCTTGCATAATAACATACATTTGAGCAATCATTTCATCTACTGGAATTTCTTTAACTGTGCTCTAGTATAAGTTCTTGACAAATTTTCTGCCAGAATTATTTCTTTACAAGCTTTATATACTAAATACTGCATATTTTCAATTTTAGTAAAACTATTTGAAAATTTAGAGAAGTACTTGCTTTCGATTTATTGATAATATCTAACTGTTTGTAGTCAGTATTAACAGTAACTTCCTTCCCATAAATATATTGTTGAAAACATTTACATTCAAAAAACTCTGTTAGTAGTTCAGTTTTGATGACAGCTGAGCTGGTGTCTTTGACCTTGATGCATATGCAATCGGTTTTATATTTTGAAATAATACTCCTCCAACAACAACAGTTTTGTATGCGACTACCTGAATATTTATAGGTTTTTTAAAATAGCAAGTGAGACTTTGTTAAGAACATAAAAGTTTTTAATTTTCTGGAAAGATTTATAATTTGCTTTTACTTATTTCATGCTCTTTGGCGTTCTTTTTTTATTAAATTTTAAATGGTTCTGTTATTTCCGATAAACTTGGTAGCAGATGGGAAACATGGTAAAACCATGGCAACTTTACCATGCCTAGAAATATTTTTACTCTTCATTTTTTTTCTTCATGTTTTGGCATTTGTGACTAATCTGCATGTATTCTGTTTTTTGATAACTTGTAATAACTCAGCTTTGTCTTTATGTGAGGTAACAAAATCTGAACTATACAAGACAGATTTGCCCTTATTATTGTCACTGTTAAAGATTCTCCAGAATCTTTAACATCCAGAATCCAGAAGAGGCACGAGAGCCTAAAATTAGAGATTAAATAAGAGATCTAATAATGTCCTAATAACGGTCTAATAAACATAAGTTATTCAAATTTTTTGGATACTTCAACTTATAAATCTTTTACTTGTTCATCTTAAATCTGTTTTACTTAATTCTGTTAAAAGCTGATTTTTCTTTAATCTTTTAATCTGTTTAGAGCCAATTTTTTTTTTGCTGACAGCACAAAACTTAATTTGTGTTATTGTCTACAGTTCTTACTTCATTTAGTAGTTTCATAACTTGCAAGTCTTAACAAGTTTGTAAACTGAGAACAAGTTTGCTTTTTATCTCCACCTCATAGAATCTCACCAACATTTTACAGTTTTTTAGTAACACATCTTTTTTATTCCAAGTACTGGGACACAATTATCATCATAACCACATAATTATATGTTTGTATAAATGAGATTATCATTTATTACTAGTTGCTCATAGACTTTTAGTGGCATCAACCTTAAATCAAATCATAAACAAGTATAATCCTTGGCATTTTTTTATATAAAAAAACAGATATAAATTATTGTTGAATTATCACACTTTGTATTTTATATAATCAAATGTCAACACTTTATTAACTTTGGTATTAATAACAAAAAAAAGTTTTATTAGTTTATTATTTTAAAGTTTATTATTAAACTTCATTCTATTAATTATTACCATTGTACTTAATAGTCAATTATTACCACCATTATTACTAATATAATTATTATTGTTAACTATTATTTGAAAAAATTAAAACTGACCAAACTATGCATCATGCAAGATAATAAAATAACTTTAATATAACAACAAAAAATTATTTAAAAGTTAAATATTAACTGTAGTGACATGAACCATTTGTCCATTTGGTTGATCCAACTGTGCCAAATGTCCTATATACATATATAAAGTTTGCAATATATATATATATATATATATATATATATATATATATATATATATATATATATATATATATATATATATATATATATATATATATATATATATATATATATATATATATATATATATATATATATATACACACACATTTATTTATATATTTATATATATACACACACATTTATTTATATATTTATATATATACATATACACATATATATATATATATATATATATATATATATATATATATATATATATATATATATATATATATATATATATATATATATATATATTATATAAATTAACTTGTTTCTCTGCGCAGCAGTCTTGTTCATCAAGGTTCGCGTTAGGAAGTTATAGAGTTGAGAGAGGGTTACAACCACAATTAAGAAGCCTCCTTAACTGCAGTGGCCTTCACGGCCTTGGGGAGGTGAATTAACAAAAAAGTATATATGTGTGTGTGTATATACATGTGTGTATTTATGTGTGTGTACGTGTATTTATATATATATATATATATATATATATATATATATATATATATATATATATATATATATATATATATATATATATATATATATACATATATATACATATACAACTATATATAAATATATATATATATATATATATATATATATATATATATATATGTATATATATATAATTATATATAGTATTCAAGTAATAAAAAATATAGAACTTTGTGATGGACCCTAAGGTTCCATGCCTATCAGCAATCATAAGCTGTATCTAAACTTTAAATCAAGAAAAAACTGTTTAAAAAAAACTAATTGAATGAGATCTGACTCAACTATATTACATATAAATATGCATTTGCTAAACCTTTTTTTACTAATCTACATCCATATAGTTTTATTGCTAAAAGAAAAAAACAAAAAACAATCCGCAGTTAATATAGCAGAATTTAAATTCTTCTATTCTATTTTTTCAAAAAGTGGAGTAAAACAATTAAAAAAATTGTTCAGCTGTCATTACATCTAAATAAAAATACAATAAGTTTTAAAGCATTTTAATAGGTTCTAATACTTGGTTGCATCAAAAAATGCTTCGTATCTGTGGAGCTCATGCTTTCAACCAGTTTTATTAACAAAGTAGCTTCCAGTAATTAGATCAAATAAATGTGCTGAATGAATTAGATCAAATGAATGACCACTTAAAAATATTTCAATATTTTAATTGTACCTTTTATTGCTGTTTTCTTTATTTTCTTGTTAAAAAAAAAAATTCATGAGGAAGTTATACTGGATACAATATATTTTTATCTACAAAGTTTATTCATTTGTTATAAAAAAAGTATTATTATACTTATTTGGTATTAATTTGATTACTTAGACATTTGATGTGGTTTTTAGACTGGCATGCAAATTGGTAAATAAAAACAATTTCAAAAATTTACTGTTATGACTTCAACTTTTTGCCAATTAATAAGTCAAATGGCTAAATATATAATACAATTTCAAATAGGGAGTTAAACACGAGTTTTCAGATATTTTGAAAAACAATTAAATTTACCAGTATATTAACACTACACTATTGTGTCAGACAAACAATATGAGAATACTACTACTAACTAGAGAATACTACTACTAACTAGAATACTACTACTAACTACTACTAATACTAGCACTAACATTTTCTGACTGAGAAGTAAAGACATAGTCTTTACAAGTCATTCAACAAATGTTAGTGCAATAGACTCAAAATTTGTTCTGGAAACAAACTTTGTATGAATCAAGTACAATGTTATTGCCTGGTGGTCTAAACTTATTTTATAATTTATCTATTTATATGTATATATATATATATATATATATATATATATATATATATATATATATTATATATATATATATATATATATATATATATCTGTGTGTGTGTGTATATATTCTTCTTTTTTATATATTTTATATCATTATGATAAAACCTTAATATTACTAAAAGTTAGTATAAACAATAATCTAGAATATATATTAATAAATATCTACAACATCAACTTTAGTTTCAATAAAAAAATAAAGTGTAATGTTGGTTTGATTTCCGTTAAAGTATACTTAAACCTATAAATATTTCTTATTTATCTAATCATATCTATTTTCATCAATAAATGTTTAAGAAGTTTGAAAAGCACTTGAGTAAATAATTATTAAAGTTTATTAAATTAGACTTTTTGTATGTTTTTAATATATAATATATTTTATTATTAATTAATGTTTTTAATATATAGTATATCATATATTTAATACAAAGTTTCTTTTTTTCATTTCTATAGTTTTACCTTTATTATCTCAAGATGGTAAGTTTGTCTTCCATGTTTAACTGTAAAGATTATGCATTACAAAAATTTCTACTTATTATCATTTTTTTCTTTCAGTTTTACCTTGGTGCTCTAATTAATCAAACTTACTAATTAAATTCAGTTTTACCTTGGTGCCCTAATTAATCAAATTTACTAATTAAATTCAGTTTTACTTTGGTGCTCTAATTAATCAAATTTACTAATTAAATTCAGTTTTACCTTGGTGCCCTAATTAATCAAATTTACTAATTAAATTCAGTTTTACCTTGGTGCTCTAATTAATCAAATTTACTAATTTTAATGATTTAAGCTTTACAAAGTGAAAAAATTTTGAAAATTTTAATGAATAAAGTTGATCATGATTATTAGCTTAACTTTTTTTTTTTTAACTTTTATGATAATTAGCATAATGACAATTAGCTCATGATAATTAGCATCATCATAAGTTTAATCTTGAAAAAAAATTAATTTAAAAATCAAAATCTTTTTAATTGACTTAATTATTTAATTTAGTATGTTTTTAAATAACAATAAGGATAAAGGAAATTTTAATTTTTTTTAAGAGTTTTAATTTTGTTCCTTTTTCTTGATAATTAATATTTTGCTAATTGAAAATAAAATATATACATTTTTATTTTTTATTTTTGTTATTTTAGTAAAAAGCTCCTCTCAATTTCAAAACTTGATTTCTTTTAATTATAATTTTCTAGAAAACTAGTCTAATCTAATTTCAAACTTTGACATGGTACATATTAATAAAAATGTACAAGAAATGTTAGCTGATTAAATCTTTTTTACAAAGAGGTGGCATACAATCATATCACTCCAACTAAATGACAATCAACTCTTTAAAAACCAGAGCTTGGTAAATACCAGTTTCAAGTTTTTTTATCAGAAGCAAACAAAACTTAAGATACAAATAAAAACTGCTTGTGAAATTAGAAGTACCATATTCTGAAATTTGAATACAAAATGATTTGCAATAAACTAGACCATAAGATTAAAAATAAAAGTGAAAGAAAACAAATATGGTGTTACTAATTTAAATATTAGCTATTGTAAAGATAATAATAGCTATTGTAAAGAATTATGTGGCACACATCACTATTCTACTTGACAAATGACACTTCTACACAAAAAAGCAGAAACATATTAGCAGGAAACTACAGACTGGTATCACTCAAGTTTATTGCATGAAAAATAATGAAAATGTAAACTTCGCTGTAGAATTTTAAACTAACAGTGAAGCATGGTTTTGTTGAAAACAAATCATGAATAACAAATATACTCTAAACACTTGACTTTATTTCAACCAGCTTAGAGTATGGTAAACCTGTCAATTTTAATTTTTTCGTATTTTGCTCAAGAGTTTGAAACATAAGTGCTACATAAAAATGTGCTGGAGAGTTTGAAACATAAATGCTACATAAAAGTGTGCTGGAGAGTTTGAAATATAAGTGCTACATAAAAGTGTGCTGGAGAGTTTGAAACATAAGTGCTACATAAAAGTGTACTGGAGAGTTTGAAACATAAGTGCTATATAAAAATTTGCTGAGGGGTTTGAAACATAAGTGCAACATAAAAATTTGCTGAAGGGTTTGAAACATAAGTGCTACATAAAAGTGTGCTGGAAAGTTTGAAACATAAGTGCTAAATAAAAGTTTGCTGAAGGGTTTAAAACATAAGTGCTACATAAAAGTTTGCTGCTTAAAAAAACAGCTTAAAGAATATTCTCACAATTCAGTCTCACAATTCAATGGATCAAAATGTTTCTAAAAAATGAAAACAAAGAGTTGCGCTAAACAAAAAAATTTATCTTCTTGAGCAGAAACCATAAAAAATCATATTCCTGCCTGGAGTTGTTAAAAATACTATTCCATAACCAAGTTATAAGCAGATGATTCAAAATAATATAAGCTTTCCTGTGTATCAACACTGTAAATGAAATCATATCCTAATTTAGTGTCCATGTGGACACATAATTGACTTGCTAAATACACACAAAGACTAAAAAATAACTAAACAACAAATGCAAACCAGCTAAAAAAAAAAGGGTAAAAAATTAAGACACAAGTAGGTACTTGGTACTAGTAAACAATGAAACAAAGAAACTGTAAAAAATGCAACAAAAAAACTATAAACAAACAAAATAAACACCTAAAAGCCTGAAATTATGGTACAATAAAAGGATCAAAAAAAAAATGTTTAATAAAAGTTTACACTTTAGATTACTTGTGCATAATTATAAATATTTAACTTTGTTAAACATTGTAAATAGACAGTTAATATTATAAATAATTTTTTATTTTAATTATACAAAGTTATGTTTTAGATTTTTTATTTGCACAAAAAAATGCAACTTAAAAATAAAAAGCCTAATAAACTCAAATTAAATTTTTTATATAATCAATTCTTTAAATTCAAAATAATATATTATTTAAACTTAATACATTGATTTTAGATAAACATGTACTTTTTGAAAATGCTAAACCTTTGTACAAAAAGTCACTTCTCCTTGTTTTCGTGACAAAACTGACATTAAAGGTTGCTATCAAGAAAGTTTACAAGCAAAAAGTACCTTCAATTATTTTGAATTTTGAATAAAGAAGAATGAAATCCTCTTGGTTGTTACGACTTTCCTTCACCAATCTTTCTAGATCCTATTGAATTAAATAAAAATTAACTAAAATATATATATATATATATATAAATTAAAATAATTGAAATACTCACAATAATGCTAGAATCTAGCTTATGAAGAAACTGATCTGGATTTTCAACAACCGCAGATGCACTTCCGCATTCTAATAGCTGGATTGGTGGTAGATTCTGTAAATAAACTCAGTATATATTCTGTAAAAAGAATATTAAATTTAAAACCAATTAAATTTAAGCATATTAATTGTGTTCAACAAAATAAGTAATTAAATTTTATTTTAAAATATTTAGATAATAAAAAAAATAAAAGCTATATAAAAAATGTGATAATCAAATTTACAATATTTCTTTCTGCTTGAATCATATTTCGTTCTTCTCTCATTAAATACTGAATGGTTTTGACAAAAAAACTTGGTTTACCAGAAAAAGCATTCTAAAGTAAAAATATTAAAAAAAAAAATTTAGTTTTTAATCATAAATTTATTCAATTCATTTTTATTACTTTGATTAAATTTAATTTTATTATTTTTTATATAACTACTTATTTTATTTTGTTTTGTTCAATACACTTTATTAAAAAAATGTTTTTAATACTCAACTATTTCTTATAGAATTAAGTAGTAAACTTTTTAGTAGTAAGTTGTAAAATTTAAAATAATATATATCAGGGGTGTACTCTCACGTTCGTCCGGTGGCATGAGATGACTCATTTTCTCCAAGGGCAACTGAAATGGAAAAAAAATGCCAGTCAGTAGCCCGGCAGGACGACACTTTGCTTCTCACAAAAGTGAGTTTATTAATAAAAAAAAATTTTTTGATCTATAAAGATTTTATTCCTTGCGATTATTTAAAAGAAAACTTAAAAAATATTTAAAGTAGTATACACTTTGTTTAACAATGAGTACTCTATGGTGCGTTATAAAATTTTACCAAACTTAATAAAAAGAAGCAGATGCGCAATTTAATATTTCGAAGTGCAACTGAACTGTTTTTTTAAACATTTTTGTTGCATTTTGAAGCACAATTCTTTTCAATTTAAAATGACTTTTAAAATTAAATTTTCCTTTATTTCCAAATGCTATCGTATCATTTTTTAAACCTTATAGTCCCATTTCAAATCATGTGAATGGGCAATTGAATCATTAACAACACTGAATCTCTTTTGTTTTTCATTAGTAAAATTAATTTTTTTTTAACTCTGCCAAACAAAATTAACAAAATAAAAAGCATTATTGGGCATAAAAAATTATTATTAGAACGCAATTAATGATGCAAGTGGAAATTCTTTAATTAATATAATGAAAAATGTTAAAAACATTAAAACATGTTCTAAATATTCAACTAAATTAAATTTGATTAAAAATTGAGAGAGAATACTAGAATATTTTTCTATATATATAAAACGTTTCTTTGCAATTTTGGCTTTCAACATTTTTGCTTCATGTAATGAAACTTTTTTAAGATTGACAAAAACAAACAATACGATATAGATATTGACTAGGAGAAAAAACACATCACATCTTTAATTAATTTATTCTATAAATTAATTAATTTACTTTTAAATAATTTCTTATTAGACGCACTTTAGAAGTCAGATGCTTAAACTTTTTTTCTTCATTATTTTCACAACAAAAAAATAAATAAAATAAATAAAAACCTTTACAATGGACTACTAATTATCATTGCGAATTTTGCAATCTGCTTCTCTTATACAAGTCACCATCTTCACAACACTCTCTCTAACAACTATATATACTCTTGAAACTGGAGTTGAAAACTCTTAAATATTTGAATTACTTCACTAATATTGATGTTAATATATACTGTTAACCTAATATTATATATATATATATATATATATATATATATATATATATATATATATATATATATATATATATATATATATATACATATATATATATATATATATATATATATATATATATATATATATATATATATATATATATATATATATATATATAAATTTGAAACTGACTTAAATAGGAAAATGGGCAGTGGAGCGTATATACTTCAACTGACTATATATATATTAAAATACAGAGAATATATATTTTAAAAAACAATTATAAATATTTAAATTTAATAAATATATACTTAACAAAAAATATTTTAAAAAAATATTATTCAAACTTAATAAATATAAATATTCACAAAATGAGCAAAAAACTGCACATTTCGTGAAATGAGCAATTTCATAGTCAGTGCGTAACACATATTTGCAAACATTTTGTGCTTATAAACTTTCTTTAAATAAAAATGATACAAACAAAAAAAAAATTAAAACTTACTTCAAAGTTTTTCTTGTATTCTGAGAATCTTATCTGTGTTATAATATCTTTAGCCTAAAAAGAGATTGCCAGATTAGTTTTCTTTTCCAAGATTAGCTATTTTACTAATAAAAAAACAATAACTTAATTAAAAACACTTTTCTTTTTTGTTGTATTGACTTCCTCAAGGTCTGCGGGACCTCTATAGTCAAAAAGGCGACTAAACTATTTATTTATATTCAGTATTACTTTTTTTTTTATTCTTATTCCATCACTCTTTTAACTCTGAAACGACTTAGAAGAAAACATTGTTACATTTCCAGGGAAGTAGAAACCTAAATAGTAGAATCGTTAAAATGCGAAGCAACGATAAATTATTGGCATTAGTTTTTCTTCAATAACTGGTAACCAATTACAAATCTTATTTACTTCACCTGCTACTATTTGCTACATAAATTAAAAAAAAGTGTAAACAAAGCAACAAGTGAACTTTTGAATATGATTTTATTTTTCTTGCACGCATTTCAGCTTAATTAGTTCAAAGATTGTCAACAAAAATGTTAAACTAACTTTTATAGCAAATGAAGTTTAGCAGGACTTATCTAGGAGAAAATGTAAAATTTAAAATAAACTTTTTGTTAAAAACATTTTTTAGATAAAAAACTGCTAAATGTTGTTAGAGCAAAAAAGGGAGCTTAATTTTTATATTATTTATGCCAATAAAATGCTTTAGTTTTATGCTTATAAAATAATAAAATTGACTTCATTATTTTATAAATACTCTTCTGTCAAATTTTTTTATATTTTATTATTTTAGCATTTTCATTATATCCTAACAACTAAAATAATACTTAAAAGTATTTTTAAAAATAAAATAAATTTTTATTTGAGCATTTGATAGAAATTTACTATTTAAAGATAGATATAACATTTGTCTTTAGATAAATGTGTGGCTTGCAGTCAAATGTCAGATCAGGTTTATCCTGCTACTGGTAACATGTAACCCAGTACAACCTGCTTCATGTCCTGCTGCCTTGTAGGATATGCCTTTTTAGGCAAAGGCTAGGAGATGCAAATTCTGACATAAAACACCCCCTGTTTTGGGGCTCTTGGTTGAGTAAAGGCTAGAGATGGTGTCTCGATAAAAATACTCATCTTGGGCAGATGTTAGGCTGCTGTCTTGTAGAAGGCCTCCTAGGCAAAGACTTAAAGGGTAAACAGATTCTATCTGTTGACTAGCCTCCCACCCCTTCTTCATCTATTAGGCTGGCGCAGATGTATTTTTAATACATTGTTTCCAGTTTAGGATGTTGAACGCTGGATCTTCTTGACTCGATTCATGGGTTTTGCTTGTGACTCTGTTTTTATGACTAGGCAACTCATTCTATTATCTCCTAATGAAGGTACAGCTCTAAAACTCAGTTTTATGGTTCTGAGGCTGGCTGGTAGTCAGGTTTCCCGAACTCTGTGGTAGCTCTCAGAGAGGCTGATTCCATCAACAGCTGAAAAATATCAGAGTACTAACAGTGCCATGTTGCGCATGGATGGTGTCCCTGTTTGTATTTTTGGTGTGCATTGCCAAGGCCACATTGGAGCCCTTTGTTACGGCTTAGGGTTTATAAGTGGAAATGAGGCAATTGCTTGAGCTATAAAACAGTGTACTGAGTACTATCTATGTTTTGAGTCAAGTTGTTTAACAAATTTAAAAATGAATAAAGTAACAAAAACTATAAAACACAAAAAACCACAGTCATCACCAAGTTTGCTAAACCTATCATTCACCAATTTTCGTGGTCTTCGAAGTAACTTTTCTTCTGTTGAGTCTTATCTCTTGCAAAGTTCACCAGACCTACTTTCTCTTTGTGAGACTAATTTGAGTTCAGCTGTCTCATCTTGTGATCTTAGTGTTGATGGTCCTTTAATTCGTAAAGACTCCAATAGTCACATGCTTGGCCTGGGCATTTACATTTGTAAAAATTCACCCATTTGTTGGGAAACTAGGTTTGAATTTACAGACTACTCTTTTATGTGCTTTCGTTTAGCACCACTTCACTCTATTACCTTTCTCTTTGTTTTATATCGCTCTCCCTCATCTCAAGACTGCACTCTTCTTGATGTTATTTCTGATTATATTGACCAAGCCCTCATTCTTTATCCATCAGCCAATATTATTGTTGTCAGTGACTTTAATGTTCATCACACTAAATGGCTTGGCTCTAGTGTCAGTGACTCTACAGGCATTAAGGCCCACAACTTTTGTCTTTTTCAATCCCTAACTCAAATAGTCAACTTTCCAACTCGCTTTCCAGACAACCCGAATCATTTACCTTCTCTACTCGACTTATGTCTTGTTTCTGATCCTAGTCAGTGCTCAGTTTCTTCACACTCACCCTTAGGTGAGTCTGATCATGGTTTGGTCTCTCAAAAAATATTATCTCATTCTTCTTTACCATCAGAATCCCCTATCATCGTACATCTTACAACTACCTTAAAGCTGACTGGGACTCTTTCCGTGATTTTCTTCATGATGGCCCCTGGGTAGAAACCTTTCGTCTCCCTGTTAACAAATGTGCTTTTTACATAACTTCATGGATTCAGGCTGGCATGGAATCCTTTATTCCCTCTCGACGATTCCAGGTCAAGCCTCACTCTTCTCCATGGTTTTCCTCACATTGTGATGCTGCAATTGCCAATCGAAACCATTACTTCCATATCTATCAGCAAAACAATTCTCCAGAAAATTGTCTGTAATTCCACCTCTTTTGTATGGTTCAGACTTTGTCACCTCACCTAAAGACAAAGCTGAATTGTTTGCCAAGAACTTTTCATCAATATCATCTCTTGAAGCCACTAGTTACGTTCTACCTGATATAGCCGTCAAACAGGTTGATCCATTGCTCGACATTCATATCACTCCAGCTTCTGTATCTAAAGTGATTTTCCGCTTAGACTCTTCTACAGCTTGCGGCCCGGACAACATACCTGTTATAGCGTTGCAGAAGTGTTCTCCGGAGCTGTCGTCTATCCTTTCAAAACTATTCAACAAGTGCTTATCAGAGTCTTGTTTTCCAGCCTGCTGTTATCCCTATTTTTAAAAATTCTGGAGAGCGATCCGATTCGTCTAACTACCTTCCCATTAGTCTTCTTCCTATCATAAGCAAGGTTTTTGAATCTTTAATTAACAAACACTTAATCTCTCATCTCGAATCTCATAACCTACATTCCGATCATCAATATGGATTTTGATCTTCTCATTCTACGGCTGCTTTGCTATCAGTAATAACCGATAGGTTTTATCGTGCATTAGATAAAGGTGGAGAGGTTAAGGCCATTGCTCTTGACATTTCTAAAGCGTTTGATAAAGTTTGGCATGCTGGTCTCCTCCATAAGCTTTCTTCTTACGGTGTATCTGGAAATATCTTTAAGATTATTGAATCCTTTCTTTCCAATCGTAGTATAAAAGTTGTCCTTAATGGACAGCACTCTTCTTCTTATTCTGTAACCTCAGGGGTTCCCCAAGGTTCAATCCTTGGCTCTATACTTTTTTTAATTTACATTAACAATCTTCCAGATATTCTCACATCGAAGGTGGCATTGTTCGCTGATGATACTACCATTTATTCTTGTCACAATAAGAAGCCAACTTCCTCTGATTGCTTGCAGGGGGCATCTGAGCTTGAAAAGGATCTCACTTCTGCTACAGCATGGGGCTCACAGTGGCTGGTGAACTTTAATTCAGATAAAACTCAATTTTTTTCGGTCAATCGTTATCGCAATAATTTATACCTTCCTATATATATGAACGGTAATGTACTCGATAGGTTTCCTACCCTTCATCTTCTAGGATTAACTCATACTTCCGATCTTTCTTGAGAACCTTATATCAAATCCGTTGCAAAATTAGCATCTGCTAAAGTTGCATCTCTTTATTGAGCTTGTCACTTTCTTACTCTGGATTCTATTCTCTATCTCTATAAATCTCAAATCCGGCCTTGTATGGAATACTGTTGCCATATCTGAGGCGGATCTTCTAATGATGCCCTTTCTCTTTCTTTAGACAAGGTGCAAAAACGCATTGTAAACATAGTTGGACCTGCTCTTGCAGCCAACCTTCAACCTCTGTCACATCGTTGTAATGTTGCTTCTCTTTCTCTTTTCTACAAATACTATAATGGGCACTGCTCTAAAGAGCTAGCGCCTCTTGTGCCATCTACTAAAATTCATTCTCGTGTTACTCGTCATTCAATTAAATCTCATCCTTTTTCTGTTACTGTTCCTAAGTGCTCCAAAAACTCTTATTTGTCTAGTTTTTTTCCTCGAACATCAGTTCTTTGGAATTCGCTTCTTTCATCTTGCTTTCCTGATTCATATAATTTGCAATCTTTTAAGTCGTCTGTCAATCGTTATCTTGCTCTACAATCTTCATCTTTTCTCTTCCAGTAACTTCCAACACTAATTAGTGGTTGCTTGCAGCCTTGTTGGAAGCAAAGATAATTAAAAAAAAAAAAAAATCTATAAAGAGCATATTTTGTATATGTATATATATTTATATATATATGTGTGTATGTGTGTATATGTATATGTATATGTATATGTATGTATGTATATATATATATATATATATATATATATATATATATATATATATATATATATATATATATATATATATATATATATATATATATAAAATTGATAATATATATATATATATAAGAGTGATGTCTGCAAATTATTGCCAACCTCATTTTTCCTAATTCCGAGGGTTGATATTGTAAATATTATTTTTAGTTGCTTATAAAACAAAAAGTTTCACCATGTAATTGGACTTGCATAACAACTATTGGAAACAATTATTTAAATTCTAAGAGCTATTAGAACTGTATAGCAAAAGCAAAATTTAATTTTTTGTAACCAGTCTTATATATTTAATAATTTTAAATCTGTAAAATTATTATCAGTCAAGTTTATAGCTTATAAATTTTAGAAAAAATTTACTTTAGCTTGGTAACTATTCAAAATGCACTATTGCTATGTATTTCAGGTATCCCTACCAACAAATTTAAACTGTCAGG